CATTTGTGTTTTTTTAACTTTCAAAGCAAGGTTGTAAGTGGTAATGCATTGTCAGTCTTGTTGTGATCATTCAGAACATTGTGAACACAAAGTTGCGTAAAAATGTATATCATTACGCAAATTAATTGTGCTTTTAACCTGGTATCTTAAGTTTTCATCTGATTAAACAAACTACACTAATCATTACATTGTATCGCATCACACTGAAGTACATTACACTGTTGTATCACATCATATAGTGTAGACTTGAAGCTTTCGTGACTGCAATAATCTATATTCTCTGGTTTTTCGTTAAAGTCACGTAGGTATAAAGTAAAATAAAGTCACCTACGTGACTTTACCGAAAGAACCAGAGAGTATCGTATAGTGTTGCATCGTGTATTGTGCTGTTGTGATATGTTTCTGTCTGGTGGGGGCTCCCCATAGCAGCTGGACGAGGAGAGAGCTGGGGCCAGGAGGAGCGCCCCAGCCACATGGAGCGATACCTGGCACTGAGGCGCAAGCTGGAAGAGGTATTGAGTGTGCGCAATGAGCCTGCGGCCGGTGGCGTGGTGGTGGTGGCGGCGCAGGGTACTAGTGCCAACAACACCAGCAGCAGCAGTGACACTACTAGTGACACCAGCAGTAGCAGCAGCAGTGAAGATGAAATTATTATGAAGATGGCCACTTGTACACCAGTGCCGGAGTGTGGGGCGGACACTGGGAGCAAGGGGCCGACGGAGTAACGTTGGCAGAATCGGCGGCAGCGGCAGTAGAAGCAAGGCCAGTTTGGACCATAATTGATGATCCTGGCAGTACTGGTTGCCGAGATGGAGACGCATCGTCAAACCGAGCACTGCGTAAGCAGCAGCGGCGTCTGCGTGCGGCGATAACGACGACGACGACGACGCCAGCTGGGCGGCCGTGACGCGCGGCTGGGGCAGGAGCAGCGCGACCTGGGGCTGTCCCAGGCGCGGTTGCAGGGAGCGGGAGCGAGCGAGGAAGTGAGCGGCGGGGGTGGTCGCAGGGGCAGCGCCGGTGACCAGGCGACGCTGTGGGTGTACCGGAGGGAGGGCGCACGGGATAGGCTGCTCTCTGATGATGACGAGGAGGACGAGGAGGAGGAGGACGCCTTCCACACGGCTTCGGGCGGCAGCGACGGGTGCTCGTGGGAGCATCGCGAGCGAGGTGGCTGCACGTTATATTTTGCGTTCGTCTTTTTGGAAAGGTCCGTGGCCTTGTCGCATTGGAGTTGTTGCACCACTCCTGTGGGTTGTAGGTCACAATATTTTCCATCACTCTGCACCTGTTTGTGTTGGTTGCAGTGAGACTCTGGGTTGCCACAGAATCTCTAATTGCTACTTGACTCTTTAACTCACCTTCCATATAACCATGCCTACACGCCTGACTGTATTTTAACTAGGTAGAGCCTCATTATTGTTCATATCACTCATACAGTTCGTTTATAAGCATGTAAGCGCCAATTTACTCTTAAGTGTCTCATCAAGCAAGACCTGGTTAAAACAACATAATATGTTAAATATGATAAAAGATCAATGAAACTGCAAACACCTCTTGCAAAATGATAAACTTAATTGGGGATTTTCAAAACCTTAAATATAACTAATAATTTTCAATAACATTTTAATGAGGTAGTAGGCTAGGTTCAACAGCCCTAATAGTACTCTCTCACAAAGAATATACAGCGCAAAAATAAAACCACTGTCATAGTCATTGTGAGTCGCTCACCATCAATAGTCGGAGCATCTGCCCGGTTGAACGAGCAATGGCCGATGACACGGCCTAGCGGTAACACGCTCGCCGCTTCCTGTAGATGTTCACGGTTCGAATCTGGCAGTCACCCTGGTTAACACCGCAGGTTTAACATCCGTAAAAATAGGTGCCGTCTGCATCACAGTGGACGTTAAGAGTTCTCGTGACGTCTTATGCAAGATTAGGCCATTGTGTGCTCGTGCCAAATTAGATAAATTACCTGCCACTTATATGTATCTTGAACTTCTTTTGCACTGCACATAGCCAACCGTGCTAACATTACTCAATTGAAGTATACATAGCAATGATCACCCCCTGCTGTGAACGCTTGGCAGGACCCTCCATACAACAGTCAATAGGCTTATAGAGGCTTTTCTGGGCAAAGGTGTTTAATAATAATATTGTCTTTTGATGCACTAACCAACATTTTAAATTTTTTATAAATGTTGCTAAATAATTAACTGGGTAGTCAGGTTTCCACATCCTCGCTCTCTCGCACAGACGAACTGGCACTCGCAAACACTGAAGACGAGTTGCTGCTGCTCCCACCCGGCCCCGAGACGTCCGACCAATCGGGCGACTGCGCAATTTGCGCCAGTCGGAGCGCGGCTTCCTCGCCGGCAAATCACGGCATGCCGTGCAGCCTGTTTGCGGCGGATGGTGGGGAGCTCGCCGCATCGGAGGATAACGGGTTTGACTCCATTCCCAGTCTCAACGAGCCGTTTCTCGATCGCACGGAAAGCTTTGCCGACGGCGGAGAAGTTTCGTCCGGGTAAGTTCCAACTTTCGCGTTATTTTTATTAACAGGCTGCGTGGGAAGTGTGCTTCTTGGGAAGCCTTGTACAATTTCAACTGTGTTAAGTTCACAGCAACACAAACGTATCGCAATGGTGGTTCAAATATATACGTAGAACGTTTCAGCCAATTGGTGTATAAGTATGCAACAATTTCGCTATGTTTGTCATTAACACACAATATTAACGTAACCACAACTGCCAACTGCACCAATAACACAACCATCACCACCACCAGTATCACGGGATCGGCACCACCATGGTATTGTTGTTGGTGGTGGTGTTGGCCTCTTTTTGGTGGTTGTGGTGATGATTAAGAGCCACCCGCTGAATTTATTATTCCAAGACCAAATAAACACACCACCACTGAGCCCCGATGACTTGCTTGAAAGCTCCCATTGTCAATGATGCTGTCACTGAGGATTTGTTGTTTTATTTTGGTGGTGGGAGCAGCAGGAGGAGCAGGGGGAGCAGCAGTGCCAATGGAGACATGGTGGGGCACAGCCTGCCCTGGGCTCCATGCCCCAACGATGTTCTCTCCCCTCCCGGCGGAGCCACGGGGGGACCTCTCCATCGACCATGTGGCGGTGAGGAGGAGGAGGTGGTGTTGTTGGTCGGGATTGGATTGCAGAAGTGGTATTTTTTGGTTGGTGGTGAAGATGTGGCCAACATCAGTGACGTGTATCTGACAGACCCCAGGCCCTCCCCCAGGTTTACTTGGCCTTAAATGAGTGCCTGGTACAGCGTGTTAACATCACCACCAACAAAACTTGCCCCAACAGTGTTTCAGGTAATATGGGCATCGGTTTGTATATATGTTGAAGTTCTTTCGCACTGTACGTAGCCAACCGTGCTAATGGGAGGTGCGGGATAGTGTTGATAGTGGTGGCAGTGTTGTCGGTAAAGTGGTATTGTGGTGGTGGTGTTTGGGGGTGTTGTGATGATGCTGGTGGAGGATATGGTTGTCATGCTGCCCGTACTGTTGGTGTTGCTGGTGGTGACATGATTCGGCCTCAATGAGTACCTGGTGCGGTGTGTAAAAATAATCGCCACCGGTGCTGGCCACCCACCCCCTCCTGTAGCTTGGCAGCCTTCATTGGTGCTCGCTAACAGCGCTTGCCCCAACAGTCTGTTTCAGGATGTACGGGGGGGGGGTCTTTGTCATTGGTGACATGATCATGGTAGACACTGTGATGTTTGGAGTGCTGGTGTTGAATATGGGGCTGGTGGTACAGATGTTCATGGCGTTGATGGAAGTGTTGGTGGTAGTGAGGATGGTGTTGGTGGTGCTTGTGTTGTTGGCGATGATGGTTTGGTATGATGTTGGTTGTTTTTTTAGTGGTGACCTGTCATAGTGGTGGTCATAGTGGCCTGGGATGTGACCCCAAGCTATGGGTCAAACGAGTCGTCATTATCTCTGTGTGGTCGATAAAATGAACACCACCCTCTAAGAAGCTGCTACGCGTGATGCGTGAAAGTGGAATTTTCACCACCGATTCAGAAGTATTAATGAATCACAGAAGTTGTCACGATCATCGTAAAAAAAAAAACTCTCATTCACAGCCCTTTACCAATCCATTGATGGATGAAGACCTCTGCACATCTTTTTCAGTCATGGGGGTCGTTTGGCCATACTTCACCACCCTGCTCTGTTAATTGGTGAAGGGGTGGAGAGGCTAGGTCCTGCCATCACCAGGCGCATCACCCTCGGGAGTGTATTATATACAGGGGTTTCCAGCCTTCAGAAGGCAAGGTTTCGGAGTGGCCAGCATTCCATTATGATTTTGTTTATCGACTCATCGTCCCGGCTGTAATTAAAATGATAGGCTAAGTAGCCACCGACCAGGGTGACACCCTGTCCCCCCTTGCGTTTGCAGATGAGGCCGAATCTCCGAGCGCCGGTCAATGTTGCGCGGACTCCTCCCACGACTCCACCCCGAACGCCTCCCCGTCGCACTCCCAGCCGCACGCGCCGCCGCCGCACTCGCGCCTACGCCACCACCACTCGCACCACCACCACTCGCACCATCACCACCACCACACGCACCACCACCACTCGCACCACCACCACCACACGCACCACCACAACGCGCAGCGCCACCCTTCCTCCACGCTGGCATCATGGCTGCGTCAGCCGTTGCTGGTACCGGAGATTCCGGCGGTGGCCGCACCGCAGCGGCTACCGCCGCAACCGCCGCAACCGCCGCCGCAGTTGCAACCGCCGTCGCAACCGCCACCGCCGCCGCCGCCACCGTGCTGCGAGTTGTGGGTTGCCGCCGCAACCACCGGCGCCGCGCAAACGCAGCCGACTGTGGCTCACCGGAGCCACCCGTACTTCAACGCGCTGGGCGGCGTCGGTGGCGGCGGCCACCACTACCACCACCACCGGGGCGGCGTGGGGGCCGGCGCCTGGCGCTCGCCACTGCCGACGTCTCTGCCACCGTTGCTGTTGGTGCCGCCCATTGCCCCCGCTCCCTTCGCCGCGATGCAGCCCTTGGACGGCACCATGGGGTTTAACGGATACTCCGTGCTGGGTCTCGGGGGTCAGCCGGGCCCGCCCACGGGCACCGGTGGTGCTGTCGGGCGCCTCCGCAACGCAGCCTCCAGCAGCGTCGGCGCCAATCAGGTTCGCTTGTGGGTGGACGTGATGGAAGCAAAGGGATCGGGTAGGTTGGGCGGCTAATAAATTACTCTTCAAGATTGATAAAACGGGTAAATAATGAAGCGATGAATTAAATTTCTCAGCCTGAAAGAATATTATACGAAATCTACTTGTATTGCACTGCTTACAGGTCAAAAAGAAAATATTTTGAACGTTTGCAGAAGATATGTTATGTCGAAGCCAGCCCAACCGATATTTACCAGCATGATAGTGCATCGTGATTTTTTTCTATTCTAGTTGTCTTCCCCCATACATGCTTCATCACATGTAGCTCTCTCCTCTAGAGCCTCTCCCCATATCCCTCCTCTCATCCCCACCTGTAAACGAAACCACGTAACCTGTTGATCGCTCTCAATACGATCCTGCAACGATGCCCAGATCACCCTCACTAATCCTCAACATCGTCCAATGACTCTCCCATCTCGCTCCACTCCGCTCCATTCACTCGACGCTGCTCCGGCAACCGAAGCTTTTCTGCTGCCCACACAGTCTGGAATGCTAGCCCCCTTCCACTCAAGCTGTTGACTTGGTGCCCCTGTCTGTAGGCGGAAGGCCTTCCTCTTCCCCTCTGCCTGACTGCGTCATCTCTTCTCTGTATTTTATATTTTTTACTCATACACCTCTTTGTTTTTCCGAGATGCACATCCAACTACTTCGTGCAGCGTCTAGAGATGTGCTTACATTCAGGTTCCCCATAAGTCCGAAGTTGATCTTACATGACAGGCTCCAGAGAGATGGTGACAACTCGGAAGGTCTTCATTCAACAGTTGATTGTCCACGGCTGATGCTCGGCCACAATGATAATTCCAGCTTGTATGTTAACCGCTTTTGTTCACATTTTCAGGATATGACGGATAGTCCCAGTCGTCGCTCGAGCCTGGACCGAGCCCCAGCTGACCCGGTCTCCTCGGAGGGGCTGACCGCATTGCCGCCCGATGGAGCCATGCCCGCTCACCCGGCGCTGTCGTCCGAGTGCCCCTCTCCACTCGTGCACCGCAGCTTGTTCAGCCAGGCGTGGGGACCGTCCGGCCTCTCTACGCCTTCAGGCACAGCCATGCGGCGTGTCGCCCACTGTGAGTATTACCACCGCCACCATTGCGACTGCCGTCACCATCACCGCCATAACCAGCACCCGCCGTCTTAGCCACCGCCGCTAACAATTGCACCACCCCCTCCTCACCACCGTCACCATCGTCACCGCCATTACCACCACCCATCGCTAACGCCATGAGCGATTCTGCTGTAGGCTGGGTGATGTCTGTTACCTAAGATGTTCGCAGTCTTGGATGATTGTTGTTTGTGGGCCGCTACGAAGGGGCAGGCCTCAAATGGCTGTGGGCCGTATGGCGCACAGTCTCGAACCATGTTCGCCCCTGCCCGTGTACGCGTACAAGTGAAGTGCTTGGCTGTTCCTCCCCTGACGCTTCGTTTGTGACTCCCGCTTGCAGGCAGCGCATGCGCGCGTCTCCCCTCCCTGTGCGTCTCCCCATCGCATCGCCGCGTCTGCCCGTGCTTCTCGTGCCCTCCAACCCCGCCGGGCGGCTGCGCCGCTACCCTCCGCTCGTGGGCGGTCATCCCCGGCGGGAGCTGTCGACGGGGCCGGCGAGACTCGCCGCCTTGACGACGATACCGCGACCGCAACGACCGTCGCCGCGACAAGCGTGACTGCGGCGGCAGCAAACCAGGTGCCCGCTCAGCCGCCGGAATTCTTCTCGCTTCCTGCCTCGCCCGCTTCGCCCACCTCGCCCGCCTCGCCCGCCTCGCCGCGGGGCCGCCGGCGGCAGCAGCAACTGCTGGGGCGCTGCTGTCACCAAGCGAACTGCGCCATCAGGCGCGCGGTGACCGCCGGAGATCACCAGCAGCGGCGCCGGCTCGCGGCAGCGCGTCGATCCTCGACCCCCGATCCCTTCTTCCTCTTCGACGCAAACGGCGAGGAGGACGACGATGAAAACGACGATGACGAGGACGACGACGTGGTCGTTGACGGCGCTGCCGCTTCGGCCGCGTCCACGCAAGCGTCGGACGCAGTTGGTGCAGGGACCGGTGCTGCTGCTGCCGCTGACGTTGCGGTGTTGGTAGCGGCCACCCGCCAGTTGATGGCGAACCGCGTCGAGCGGCTCCACCGCTGCTGGGAAGCAACCAAGGCGGCGCTGGCAGTGGCCACCGACGTGCCACCCGACACCGATGGCGCCGCGGAGTCGTCGGCATCGGCGTTAGGCTGCGCCCGGCCTCCGACCCCGGTGCCTGGCTTGGATGAGGTTCAATTCCCGGGCGAGGGCGACGGCTCGCACTTCGACTTCCCGCCCCTGCCTCAGGAGCTGCGGGCGGAGCCACACGCGCGGGGAAACGGCGCCGGCGATAATGTCGGTTCGTCGACGCTGCTCCACTCTACACCCAAGCGGCGCTGCGGCTTCCGCTGGCCGTCGACCACGGGGGTGGCTGGGCCGGCGGATTGGGCCAATGCCTGCCAGCGTTTGCCACGCTCCCCGGCGATTGGCTACCCATTCCGCCGTCGCTCAGCCGAGCCATCTGATGTTTTCCTGTCAATGCCGCCGCCGCCGCCGCCACCACCGCCACCACCGCCGCTGCCGCCACCACCGCCGCCGCTGATGGTGCTATCCGCGTTGGTGAGGAGTGCGGCGCTGGGAGCACCGGTGGAATTGGCCAGCGCTGGGGAAGCCTCGGAACGCCAGCCGCCCTTCGAACGTGACGGTGCGGACGGGGCAAGGACGACCAGCTCGAGCTATGAACCGATTGGTGGGCGCCTCCCGCAGTACATGCAGTCCGAGTCGCAGGTTCTGGGTGGCAGCTATGATCTCGCCCTGCCACGAGCCCACTTCTACCCGCACATGGCATCCTTGTACCACCACCATCACCACCACCACCACCGCCACCATCACCACGGCCACATCCAGCAGCAGCAACAGCATCAGGAGCAGCAGAGGAGCGGAGGGGATGGCCAGGCCTTCGCGCACCACACTTCGATGAGAGGGCACGGGGCGGCCGATGCACGGCTGTCTTCGCACGTCTCGTATGGACAACCCATCTTCGTGGCGAACGGCGGCGTGCCGGTGCCGTACTACGTCCGCCAGCAGCAGCAGCAGCAACAGCAACAGCAGCCCAACGATGATGGCGATGGTGTCGGGTACGTGGGCGCTTGCGCGCGAGCGTTGGGGACAGCTTGGGCACTTTGAGTGGTGGAGACCATGGTCGTGACTGCAGCTGCTGCTGTGATAGCAGTGAGAGTGTAGCCACCTCCATTGTGAGCTGTGGTGGTAGCTGGCCGTGCCTGCCATTGGCCGGACGTGCTCTGCAACCGCTGCTGCTGCTGCTGCTACAACAACAGCACCGTAGGTCAACCAATTATGGCTGTAAGTCGGAGCTAATTAACGTGTCTACCTTTTTTTGATAAGGGAGAAACAATCGCCAATGGTCTATGTACATAACTTTCAACCGCTTCATCAGTGCCTACCTTATTATAGACCAATTCAGACCTTATTGGTCACTCCATGCCCTTAAAAATCTCAACGGTCATCCTACAAAAGTCCCCATCACAAGGCAGAAACACAAAAAATAAAAAAAAATTTCCCGTATTTAAACGGCTGTACGCCGTATGGACCTGAACTAAATTTGCCTGTACAAGAATACAGGTAAACCGTATGGTTTACCCGTATGTAGGACACACGGGGGCGGGGAGTTGGATCTTTATCTTTGATTCATAATATCGTGCAGGTACGTCAACGTTTTAACGATAACCCTCCACCACCCGACGACAAAGCCAATCAAATCAAGTTGTCACACCAAGGGCAAAAATATGCCGACGGATTTTGGCTTTTCGGCAAGCGGGAATGTCGAGAGACAAGCAACATTTTGACAAATTTCGATTTAAAGCTTTCGTGACTGCAGGGATTCATCTTCTTGGTTCTTTCGGTAAAGTCACGTAGAAGGGAAATAATAAAAGAATACAAATAAAACATTAAAATAATTCTCACGACGTTTCGGCCACAACGCAAGCAGCCGTCCTCAGGTGAAGAACAGGTCTGTCGGGAAGACAGCATCTGAATGAGTCTTTCCGACAGACCTGTTCTTCACCTGAGGACGGCTGCTTGCGTTGTGGCCGAAACGTCGTGAGAATTATTTTATTATGTTTTATTTTTAATATTTTATTATTTCCCTTCTACGTGACTTTACCGAAAGAACCAAGAAGATGAACATTTTGACAGTTGCGCTGGAGGTGACTTTTAACGGCATCGTCAGGCTTAGCTCGTGATGCAGGTCCTTTAAGTAGGTGCCATGATGTCATCAGAACAGGCACGCATGATGTGAACCGACTTGGTAGTTCGAATTGATTGCTCGTTGTGATTGGCAGGCTACATTCGTGTAATAAGATGACTCTATTTAGAGGTTGGTGATAATAGGCTTTTGTTCATTATATTAAGGTATTGAAAGCCTGCGTGTGGATGCATGTCCCTGTGCGGGTAAATGTCTTTGTGTACGTGTGGATGTGTGCGTGTGTTTCTCTGTGCACCTAGCCTGGCACAAGTGCCATGGTTACATCTTTGCCACTTAGTGCCGGACCGTGGTGGCTGTTATTTTTATTGTTGTGTACATGTGTGCATGGGTGTTTGTATCTTGTGTGTGTGTATGTGGCACAGTAAGGAACACGGGTGGTACATCTTCCAGTCATGTCAGTCCGTTAATCCACAACGCCTGAGTTTGTCCCGTGACCTGCCAGTGAGCCTCAAGAGTGTACCTAGCCTGGCACGAAGCGGCACGGGTGACATCACCGCCGCTTAATGTCATCGTTGCCGTGTGACCGTTCACCACTGTCTGGCTTCCGCAGGGATCGCGACCGGGAGCCACCGCTGTCCGTGCCGCGGTACCGCGCGTTCCCCCGCACGAGTGCCGCGCACCGTGGGGACGACGCGCAGGCCACTCGAGACGACTCCAGGTGACGCTTCGGTGCCGGTGGCGGTGGGCAGTGGCAGCAGCGGCGGTTGGCGCGCTGCGCTACGAACCCGGCGGCCCGAGTTCGATTTTCGTTCGCGGCCAACACCGGTGACGGTTATCTGAACCGGTTCTGGGCTGCTCCTAGTTTGACTCTGCCTCAAATGAGTGCCTGGTGCGGTGGGTCAACATTGCCTAATGGGGAGACAAAGGCGGTCGGGCGTGGTGCTGGCCACCCTCCCCCTCGTGTGTCTTGCTGGCCTTCATAGGTGCTCATTTAAATGAAACTTAACAGCACTTGCCCAAAACGTCTGTTAAGGCTATAAGGGAGGGATATTTGTCTTTGAAGTTGGTGGGGATGGTGGTGGCAATGCTGGTGGTGTTAAAATTGTAGGTGGCAGCGCTCGTTTTGTTGCCGATTCAGTTGTGATGTTGGCGATGATGACGGTGGCTTGCGGTGGTTGCGACAATGTTCGGCTTGCAGGTGGTGGTGGTGGTTATGATTATGAAGTTGTAAGAAGTGGTAATGCTTATAGCTTTGAGGATGATGACCTTAATAACGATAATGTAAGCCAACTGCTGCTGCAAGCAATGACTGACGACGATGATTTTCACGACGCATTGCGACGACGATGACAAACCGCAGGTCTCGCGGCGAGGCCGACTTCCATCACGCCGTCCCGCGCACCGTCCTGCCGCTGCCGCCCCACTCGCTGCTGCGCTCCACACGTCCCTCCCCCGTCCGGGTCCAGCACTCCACGCTCGGGAGCTCCTCCTCCCACCCCTCGCCCATGGTCAGTCGATAAACATTCGTACGGCGCTGTGCGAGCGAATGGCCACCGATTTACGCAGATATTGGCCAATCAAAAAAAAAGGGGGGTGGCGTTTCACACGACGCTATACCAACCAATGGGATATTGCTCGATGCGTGGGATCACTTGGAAATGAATACACGCAGTGATTAAACCTCGAGGGATCGATACTCTAACGTGGCTGTCGCCTGAATGTCCCGAATCGATACAATAGACACCTCCAAGTCGGGTTCCACAAGACCATATATTGGCAGAGATGCACCGCTAGGGGCAATGCCAAAGCCTGCTTCCTTCCATATATGGGCAGGTGGCTTATCGATGATTTCGTCGGGTGTCCAACTTTATTAATAAGACTCTTGATTTGAAGCTTTCGTGACTGCGGGAATCCATACTCTTTGGTTCTTTTGGTAAAGTCATGTAGGTAGAAGAATAATAATAGATCACGACGTTTCGATCGCTACGCAAGCAACCGTCTTCAGGTGGGAGTGGTTGCTTGTGTGGCGATCGAAACGTCATGATCTATGATTATCTTTTTGCCTACTTGACTTAACCGAAAGAACCAAAGAGTATTTAATAATAATCAGGTGAAGACGGCTGCTTGCGTTGTAGCCGAAACATCGTGAGAATTATTTTATTATGTTTTATTTTTATTATTTTATTACTTCCCTTCTACGTGACTTTACCGAAAGAACCAAGAAGATGAATCCCTGCAGTCACGAAAGCTTTAAATCGAAATAATTATATAGCGCTTTTTATTAAGGATCTCAAAGCGCTGTACAGGATGCAGCAGCAGCACCCATACACTGGGCATGAAAATAATATAAATACATTTTAAGAATCCATTTACTAAATTAACTAAAATTTCGATTTAAAGCTTTCGTGACTGCAGGGATTCATATTCTTGGATCTTTCGGTAAAACATGTTTTATTTTTATTATTTTATTATTTCCCTTCTACGTGACTTTACCGAAAGATCCAATAATATAACTAAAATTTCATAAGTGTAAGTGTATAAATAGGGTTTAAAGCACATTTTTTTAATGTCCACAGACTGCATTATGTATTACAGCGCGCGCCACATCAATAAAAGCATCTCGAAGCCCTTTACATTAAGTATCGACGAGTAGAGAATGCCAGTTACCACCTGGCATTTCGTCACGGGCAGCTGAGTGGGGGGGTGGGGGAAGTGTTCTGGTCGCTCACAGGTCAGGGAAACCACATGCCCCTGTCTGGCAATTTCGATCCACCAAATCCAGGCATCTAAGCGTACCAAGGACAAATCTGCGTTCAATGGGTGATCGAGGTTTCAGTAGTCAGGTACCTCATTTGTAGATTGTCTTATCCCAGTCCATTAGGGACGCTCCATCAGTCGAGGTTTTTAAGGCTCGTCTGAAAACGCATGTATTTTCTCTTGCGTATCAGTCTTTGTACTCTTAGTTTTAGTGTTTATGGTTTTTACAGGGGTTGTGTTGTAAAGCGCTGTGAGGCCTTGTGTGAATGGCGCGATATAAACTTGAGTTTGACTTACTGTGTTGGCACCGCTGAGATTCTGGTTTCAAATGTTGGGTTTCATCCAGCCTTGATTAAACCGGGTTTCTCTAGTATAGCGAGTTCATCGTCTCAGAGGGTAACCAATGACTGACATAGAGGCTCAGAGACACACCAATAGATGAACATAGACACACACAGACTCACCTAGACTTAGTCGTGAATACATTGGGCTCTCATGTTTAGTGATTTGATATCACCTACATATTGCTTCAGCCGGGTTCTCAAGTCTCGTTAATTGATGGTTTCTACCCGGTCACCAATCGCCTATATGAATCCCCATTGTGTCCGCTGTGTCTCTGTGTCTCCCCTGTGTAACGCCCCCCCCCCCCCCCCGTGTGTCTCCTGGGTGTGTAGCTCGGTTTACCCCGGGTATTTATGGCGGAGATCCTCACCGTGCCAAGGCCGGAGCTGGAGGTGAGGACATCGGAAATTGTGTTGATGAGTTGGGGGGGGAAGGGGTTTAACTTTTTCTAGGATGAAGACAAATAGACAAATGTATACACTTGGATTTGCAAATCTTTGCTTACACGTGTTTGTTATCGGAGGTATATGATCAGCTCTCCCGCACCTCCGATTAGCACGGTTGGCTACGTACTTTGCAAAAGGAGTTCAGCATGCATACATAGTATATGACATTTTTAAAGCATTTGAATAATTTTTTTTAAAGGAGTCTCCGAAGCAAACCCTCGTTTATGAAGAGGTAAGGCTCAAAACTATGCTGTACAGATAGGTCGGCAACCTATTTGTTGTACTATCATTCATTGGCACCGTGCAGTAGATCTGCGGGGCTTGGTAATTCACTCACACAAATAATGTCGCTCGCGTTGACCGAGGTTCTTGTAAGTTGCGGCCATGGCCTGCGTCTGGCTCTCGGGGGGTCTCGGGAGTGGCCCACCAAGAGGTTTGGCCCGCACAGAGATGTGGTTCACGTATAAAGACATAAAATTTTGATTTAAAGCTTTCGTGACTGCAGGGATTCATCTTCTTGGTTCTTTCGGTAAAGTCACGTAGAAGGGAAGTAATAAAATAATAAAAATAAAACATAATAAAATTGTTCATTCAGACTATGTCGCCTCGACGGACCTGGTTTTCACCTGAGGACGGCTGCTTGCATTGTGGCCGAAACATCGTGAGAATAATTTTATTATGTTTTATTTTTATTATTTTATTACTTCCCTTCTACGTGACTTTACTGAAAGAACCAAGAAGTATAGAGACATGCCGATCTCCTAATACGGTATTTTTAGTTGGGTTAGATCTCGTTAATGTAAATGTGTCGTAAACCCTACTTGCACTCGACACAGCCAAACAGTAAGGGTTTGTCACGTGAACAAAACGTGCCAATTAGTTACCATCTTCTTGGTTCTTTCGGTAAAGTCATGTAGAAGGGAAGTAATAAAATAATAAAAATAAAACATAAAATAATTCTCACGACGTTTCGACCTGAGGACGGCTGCTTGCGTTGTGGCCGAAACGTCGTGAGAATTATTTTATGTTTTATTTTTATTATTTTATTACTTCCCTTCTACGTGACTTTACCGAAACAACCAAGAAGATGAATCCTTGCAGTCACAAAAGCTTTAAATCGAAATTTAATTCGTTACTACTTCAGCACACCTGTGTGTTGAAGAGCAAACCTAAAACATCAACAGTTTGAGCACCTGCTTAATCAGGCAATTGACAGAACCCAAACAACTTTATTACGAGTAATGTTGGTCGTGAAAGCCTGCGTGTTAAATAGAGATACCGCTTGGTTCCATGAAAATGAGATGAACAAGAGATAGAAATGAGAGTGTTGTGAGAGGTTCACAAGAGAGAGCCATGCGACATCTGGAGACGAGAGCGGCGCGTAACACGACGGTCACACGTACGGACGCCATGGGCAGCACGTCGCCACGTGCCCGTCATAGTGTGTGGCGTCACGTTGCCCGCCAGGACACTCCGATTTGATCTTGTTGTGGCCCACTGAACTGCTTCTCCGATTAGCACAGTTGGCTATGTATGGCGTGAAAGAAGTTCAACATCTTTTTTCCACCGTGTAAAAAAAAAAGTTTGATGGCCGCGAGACGTTGATGATGATGCTGCTGCTGCTGCTTCGGTTCTGTTTTGCAGGACCTGATGAATTTTGACTTCCAGTTCATCCTGCACGGGGCGTCTCAGAGCACGATCGAGTGGTACACGTGCGCGCACAAGTACAAGAAGGTACAAGCGCGTGGCGGCTGCTGCTGCTGCTGCTGTTTCGCCCGGTGGTCAGAACGCTTGCCAACGAGCCAGTTTGCACAGAGGCAGCAGTTCAATTCCTGCTAATAGATATTTGTGCTGCTCTGTAATGGTTGAAATGCAATGCTCCTTAAATTTACTGTAATCCCATCACGCTGAATCCTTATAATTTAATGAATTAATGCCCTGGTTTAGTAGTATTGACAGCTGTTAAAGAATTGTGAAAGGTTTTTCAGGTACCACCACACACACGCACCACACACACACGCACACCACACACGCACACCACACACACTTTTGTATGTATGTAAGTTGAACTTCTTTTGCACCGCACGTAGCCAACCGTGCTAACGCCACACACACGCTCCAAAGACAACACACACACACAACACGGATTGATCATCTTGCCCTGGCCAGACATGCGTAGAATCGTGATCAAAAGAAGTCGGGTATGGTGATTCATTACATGAGTTGTGCAAGTTCAAGCAAAGGCCGGTAATGTAGTTTCACCACCCCCCCTTCCAAAATAACCCCCCCCCCGCCTCACAGCTGAGGCCTCGTAAAGAGGACAAGAGGCCAGACGGCGAAGAGAGCGATGATGAGAAATGCACCATCTGTCTGTGCGAGCTGGAGGACGAGGAGGATGTGAGGTTTGTGAATTGCCGTTGCTTGCTCTTCCTTTATATATTTTGGCACAGCACAGCGCCGCTTATCCCACTCGCTGTGGACTGATTGTACAGGTTGCTCTGTGAAAAAGTCAGATGTGTGAACATGGATGGAACATGAAAGGTGCATCACAAAAACTGCACTGGGTGTGGGCGGTCAGTTGGTCAGGATGAATTTGTGACCTCAGATATTCAATGACCGGGGAAATCTCTGCTGTGTGCCCCCCCCACCCCCCATGCCTCATTCTGCCCCTCCCTGGTGGTACAGGAGGCTGCCCTGCATGCATCTCTTCCACCAAACGTGCGTCGACCAATGGCTCGTCACCAACAGGAAATGCCCGATCTGCCGGGTCGATATCACAGCTCAGCTGCCCGTGAAACCCTGATCAGTTCGGAGCATCATCCCCCCCCCCTCTTCTCTGCCCCTCCCCACTGCCCCACTCCCCACCGCCCCACTCCCCACCGCCCCTCTCCCCACCGCCCCTCTCCTCCGACACACGAGACCCACAATGCGATGAGATGCCTACCTTCCTCACTGCAGTGCACACACACCAGTAGTGTAGTCCTACCCGTACAGCCCCCGTTGCGTGTATACAGCCCGTGCGATGATCCACTGCTGGACGACGGCCTTGCCCTCGTACAATGCGGGTCGTCGGGGTTATTTGACCGCACTCCCCCCCTCCCCTCCCGCTGGTCAGCGCGGGTCGGTGAAGGCGGGGAAGTCTGGTTGGCGCAAAGGAGGACGGTGCAAGCCGCTTCACAAAACTGTTCCTCGTAAAAAGCTGGTTTGGGAGAGGTTCAGTTGTAACCCGTCCAGCATTTGAAACGGTTTGGTCAAAGCTGCTGGGCGAGATCCAATTATTCCACGCGACGAGGGCTGTTCGGTGCAGACGCAGCGCGATGCACCCATTCGTCCTGTAAGGACAACGATGATCACGCGATGGAGCTTGTGGATCGCCGGTTTTCACGCGGTGTCTGCGGTGGCCCGGTAACCTCTGTTCACGACGACGTTTTACAAAGAACCTGTTCTCCCGCATTGAATCGTGATCTGTGAATCGCAACGATTAATCGAATCGCAGGGCAGGTGAAATCGATACGCCGCTGCTCCTGGCGTAACTCTCTTTATTGTCGCAATCCTTGCACTGGATATTTTTCTGACCTATTATGATCTCTCGAGGAGATGGTATCTGCCATTGATGTCGTTTCGTATATTTTGCACTTGCATCCCTCTGCTGCGTACACGCACACCTGCTTGGCATTCCGTCGTCGACTTTTTGCTTTCCTGCCTCCCACACTTTTGAATTTACGGCACGCTGTTTGTTTTTGTCACTCGATTGTACGATATGCAGCCATTTGAATAGGCGTAGTTAACCTACTGGATTGTTTTGCATTCGTTTTAACGTTGGCATCAGAATGTTTTTTTTCTTGTTATTTTGTTGAAAATAATCTCACCCGTTCTCTAACAAGGTTGACCAGATGATCGATAGAAAGGCCAGTAAATAATGAGGTCTTCAGACGATGAACAAATCCTCTCAAGAGGGTACAGATCTATCTGTTACGTGGTCTTTAGAGACGAACCACTTATGATCGGCTCTTTATACAACAGAATAGACAAACCAGTTCCTGATTGAGCCTCTAGACAAATGTCATAAAAAAAAAATCTCAAGTAGGCCCTAAATTTGCTTTGCCGTTTCTGCGGCTCCCCTCGCGTTGAACGAAGATCTCCGATTTTCATTGTTTCGCGCACAAAGGTGGGAATGATGTAGAAGCAAAGTTTGATGTGTTTTGAGGTTGAGCAAGTGCTGCTTTGAACCTTCGCAAAGCACCCACGGTGATCGAAGTTAGACATTTTGCGGTGTTTCATGCTGCGCCCCTATAAGCTGAGCGCAGGTTGGGATATTTTTTTTTCCCCCGTTAGGAAAAATAATAAGTCATGGTTTCTTGCATGAAGACCTTGCGCTGTTTTTGAAGCACGTGTTCATTTGGTGCTTGCGTCACGTTTCGGTTTCGCGTGACGTTTTCGACTCCCATGACGCCCGCAGAATTAACAGTTATGTCACGCAGCAGCTTTACGCTGAAAATGTTAACAACAAAAAATCGCCACCCATCGGCTTGTTGCAGGGAGAAACCTCTACACGGCACACGTGCAGCCCATTTGTCAGACCACTGCTGGATGAGGGCCTTCCCCATGCCTGTGTGGGTCGTGGCGATTATTTGACCGTACTTTGCCACGCTGAAGTACGGTAAACGCAGGTGGCATCGACGCGAGAGCTTCGAAGTGCAGCAAAAAAGTATCCTGCTGCCCACCACATAGCTCCAAAGCAGCCTATAACACCTGTTTTGCATGGTGGTCACCCATCCAGGAAGCAACAATAGTCTAATCCTGCAGTACTTTTTGCGTTGATCTTTTTTTTTTGCAAGCACATCGGTGCAATAGAGTCTGTGCAAGTTTGTGGTTAGAAGAAACGCAATAATAAAAACATGTTTAAGGTGAAAATAACGTTACTGTAAATGGCTCATCTTGCTGTGAATACAATAACATTTTCCTCAATATAGTTGGAATGGGTACACCACATCCCTCACATGTAACAAGGTTTGTTTTTGGACAGTGGACCCATCAAAAGTGAACAAAAAAATGCATTGTAGTCCTGAAGCTGAGTGCGCACAGCAATGATTCTTTGGTGTTGAGCTGCATCCCCATGCCGTGCAGGTTCCCGTAATAAAGTTCAACACAGCAATGCCGGCACCAGATCTCTGTATGAATCAACTCCTGCCGCCCAAACACATGCCAAACTTTCAAACTGTTCTGGTCAAACCCGGACAGGTGGCCACCGTAATTAAAATCAGATATTGTGGGTATGTTTTGACACATTCCTGCGGAGGGAGCTGGTAGGAACGTTGGGTTGCTCGGTCAATGGCGGCGCGGTGTATTCCGCAAATATGGCCGACTGAGAGGGTGGGCACAAGTCGGCGTGAGTAGGTTAAACGTTGAGTTTTATAAGAGCACCACGGGGTGACCAGCCCCTCCCCACCCAGCCCCACCCCTCCCACCCAGGCCCACCCTCCCCACCCAGCCCCTCCCTGCACGACGGACGGACACAATCCCCTGTGGGCTGGTGTCACCAGGAGGTTCCTATCAGTATAATCATAGCTGTGTGTTGCCACTGGAGAAACAAAGGCAGCCAGGTGTGGTGTTGGCCACCTAACCCCTTGTGTGCCGTACCGGTCTTTACAGCTGAGCGAGATGCGGGGAGGAAGTGGGTGAGCTAGTGGAAGGAAAGAGGAATATGGAGAAACAGAGATAAATTGGGATATCCAGTACAGATAAGGCAAGAGAAAGCTGCGAGACAGGGCTCTATAGAAGATGAAACGTTTTTCTCTGGCTGGGAGGGAGGGCTGGACAAACATTCAAATGACGCGCAGGTTGCTCAGTCTTACCCAGGGCGCACCACGGTAAGAGGAGTCAAGGATGCAATGCACGGAGAAAGCACGGAGAAAGGACAGAGTGGGAGAGGAGGCCGGGAAGAAGTCCCCACCATGAAGATGGACAGAGGAGGCCGAATGGCACGGCTCAAGACGAGCGAGGGGGCGGAGACGCACCGGGCCAGAACTTTATCCAGCAGTGGATTTGGCAAGGGCCGGATAAAACAGCACTACCCCACCGTGACCCACAAACCCGAAATGAATGAATGGCCAGCTTCACGTTATTTAACAGACGCCAGTTTAATGTGATTCACAACCGCGTTGGGAAAAGTACGCATGCCCGGCGGGTTAACAACGTATACAATACACACATCCGCTGTACACTCGCTCGCACTCAACTCTCATCCGACACACGCAACTCACTCGTCCGTAACTTGGATTTTATACACCACCGAAATCGTCACGAACATGACAGCAGTCAAAACTTTCAGGTAATTCATCCGCTACACACTGGCGATCGTGACTTTGACAGAATTTGTTTTATGATGTTGCAGGGCTAGAGCTGAAATTTGTTACAAGATGCAGGTTTTTTTTTTTGCTTGCAACTTGGAAAGTCCATCTATTTGAAAAATGTTGGGCTCTAATAAACACAACTCAAATGTATAATTCATTGAATGGGGTGAGAAAAGGTTCCGAAGTATTGTCTCGTGCAAAACTCTTCTGAATATACAACCACCATCGGTGAATCGAGACCGACCCCCGTGGAGTGATGCAACAGCCGATAGAAGCACCGTCATAAAATACAGCAGAGTTCTTACTGTTCATAATAAGGTTTTTTGGCTTAGATCGCGTGAGTATAAATATGTAGTTAACCTGCCACAGCCAACCAGAAAGGTTTGTCTCGTAAACGTGCCAATTAGTTACTAGTTTAGCCAACCGGTGCGTTGGAGTAAATCCACATTTACAATTAGTACCGCGACATTTCGCTTGTAATTACATCCAACATCATCGGGCCATTTTGCCAGATGATGCTGGATTTTGCCAGAATTTAGCGATCCAAGCCAAAAAAAAAACCTTTACGAATAATATTGGTCGCGTACACCTACGCGTCAAATTGAGCTGTGTTTATGCATTGCATTTTTGTGCTTATTGTACGCAACTGTTAAATGCACGCCGGGTTTTCACTCATTCCCAGGGGGGACTTTGCCAGTTTCCTGGCCATTACGGTAACGCGGACAAAACGTTGGCATTTCTTTGTGGTGCGAAAGCGCGAGTGTCCAGAAGAAAACCCACACATGCGAGGAAGAACACTTAGGGCCCCCCACCGCACAACCTTTAAGAACCTACTTGCTGTACTGCCTTCAACAGGCACCACCTCTCGTCTTATGTTCTATGTTGATATCTGAACAGCTGAAAACAGTGTATAAGCAAATAATACTCAGTTATCAAAACATTTAGACTGCTCCCACAGACTCCAGCACCGCGTGAATACAAAGTCAAAACGCAAACACTAACCTCTTAAATAAAATGTACATCAGCCTTAAAAATGTATATAAATACTGTACATTATTTTTCATTTTTTTCAACTTTTTTGTAAAAAGTATTTTTTATTCTCTTGAATCTATTGTTCAATACAAACAGTTGAATTTCATTTTATATAGCCTTTTAAAAAAATTATCATCTTTTCTTCGCTGGATGACGATTAGGGTCCATGTTAGTGTCACTATACAGAAACGTGGCGTGGCACGGCAGCGCAGCGGATAACGCGCTGCACAGTTAACCCGGCGACCTGAGTTCGTTTCCCCAGCCACGGCGAACATCGGTGGCAATTTATATATATGAACTGGTCCTCAGCCTCCCCTCTCACTGACCAGCATGGTGAAGCATGATCGTACCGCCCCCCCCATGACCGACGCAGGCGTGGGGAGGACTTCATCCAGCAATTGACTGACAAATATCTATACACATCATTCAGCATTATTATGATTTCTACACAGAACTGTACATTGGGTGGTTATGGGTATGAACAGCACACTTTGAATGCATGTTTAAAAACAACAACAAAAATGCTCAAAAAGGAACAAAAAGCAGGTTACAACGGCATTCCAGAAAAAAAAGGTAAGAAAATATATCTATTCGTCTAGTAAATACATTCAACTTGAGAGCTGTAATAAAACAACCCCTCACAAATGAACTTCATAAAACACAGGGTAATTGGGTTAAGTTTTACACAAATGCCCGTGTAAAAATAACGAGAAAAACCGCCTCCCCATGTCTATGAATGTACACACAAACTGCGCGCTGTGCGAATATTGTAGAGTTCTTCCTGGAAAATGTGTTATTTTTTGTTATATTGCACAAAGCTTACTCTATGGGTTTTTTTAATCTAGAATATAGATCTGTAGCATTGCGATTAATGGGTGGCGCCCCCTAGTGGCTGGAGGCTTTACGCAAACTCCACACAATAGTAAAACATCGATTATTACACCATTGGAACCTCATGCCAGTAAAAAACATAACTCTGATAATGTATGCACTGTCCTTGAAGTTGATTGGTCCACACCCGAGACAGCTTTCCTTAGAGCCTAGTCTCACATGGTGTTGGACCAGATGACGCCAAAAGGCGTACATTATCAGAGTTATGTTTTTTGTTTGCATTATGACTGCAGGTATTGTGGTCTATGCAAACATGACTCCTTGTAAAAAAGGTGTCAGTTTTGTTGCCAGATAAAAGGGTAAAAAAACAATTAGCGATTCTTACATGCACACACGCAATTCGATGCGTGTAACGCAAGCTTTGAGAATCAAAATTCATAATCGCAACGTCCTACCCACTCGTCCTGTATTGTACATCAAAACACAATTGAAGAATTTTTTTGGAATACGGCGGAGAGTTCATAGCTGCCAAATTTAAAAACATCAAAATCGGCTTCGCTTCCATGTGCGTAAATTTATGACGGAGCACAACAACCGAGATAAAAGCGAAAGTAAAAAGGATATCATCAACCAAAGCCGAATAACTCGAAGGGTGCCCGAGACTCGTAATGAAAGTGGCATTTGAGAGTCGCTGCGCCTACGATTGATTCACAGCCACCATTCCTCCGACACGGAGGATGGATAGAAAATAAATAACTGATATAGCCAAAAATATGGGACGATGCTTCAGCAAATCAGCACAGGTGGAAGCTATGAAAATGAACGATTTATGACAATTTACATCCATTCCTATAACTAGCAGGCCATATTAGATGTTATTCAACAAATGTGTAATATGCATAGAGGGGATGCTACGAGTGGAGCATGTGGTTCGACACATTCTCACGCACACTTGCCAAGAGGGGGAGGCATGTACCCGATTATCCTCACGACCACCCCATAGTGATGCAAACTGGACTATCCAGGGTAGCTGATTCAATGCGAGTGCCGAGTTTCGTCTCATTTTTACAATATGAATCGTATCGTTTACTGCAGTTCAGTGATATCATTTGTACAGTTCTGTTTGAATTCCACGAGCCAAAATATGCAACCCATGAGCTTATTTAATTGCGTGAGAGTAGATTGTAACCGATGAACAGATGCGTACGATACACTCCTAACAGAATGGGAACCATGATAACGATGACTCAAACTACCGTCCACTGTTACCACCGACACTGGAGAGGGCCAATCACCACGAGGCATTCAATGGGGGGAACCGTGAGCACAGCGAAAATGTTTTATAGAGCATTGCGGTGTTAGGGATCGGGTCAGGGACAGAGTTAATGCCAAGCGGCTGGTTGGCTCGTTTGTTAGGGTTGGGCTTGTGTCGAGGTGGCTGATTTGCTCTGCCTGCGAGCAGTTTTCCCCCACTGCCGAGCCATTTCACCGATTTCTGTCCACTCAGGTGGGCACAAAGCACAGGTCAAATTTTCCCATGGGCAGTTCCACGGTTTTCGGACGTAACATTTTTTGACACTTTATAGATGTGGCCAATCAATAGTAACCGAACGGAGTGGCTTTCAACTCAACAACGTACACCGTCAGCCAATTACAGCTGTGATTGAGAGACAAATAAATTGTCCATGCTTGATTAGAGTAATTCTCGTAAATTACCGTGGTGTTGGGACGTACTAAGACAATACGACTTTTTCATCCATGCTGGGAAGGTGGTGATGGTGCAATCATTTTCCTGTACAGTCCATGGTCAAACCACCACCTTATGCCATGAATAATTAATATTGCAAACATATAATTACTCGTAATATAGCACCAGATAACATTATTCGGATGGTTTTACAAATGTTGACTCTTAATGAGGTTGCCAAATTTGTGCAACTTTCCAAGCATTCCACACGGGAAAGTTGTACAGTAAAAAAAAGGAAAAAATGATCAACTTTAGTCACTCAGTGATGGTAAAACAGATGTACAATTGACTAGGCAATCAGACCCTAGCACTACCCACAACCACACTAGCCCACCAGACCCTAGAGCCTGACCCCTGATCTTAAAAAGCCCACATCAACCCTACACCTGATTATCCCTAACCACAAAAGCTAAACACTAACCCTAACCAAACTAGCCAACCAGATTCTAACCCTACCACTAACCCCAACTGGCTAACCAGCCCCAAGCAGTCGAGCCAGCTCTCCTGCTTCACCTTTTAATTTCTAGTTGTCCTTTTAACTTTTGGTGTTCGCAAGCAAAAAGGATGAAAGTACAACAAATATTTCCGGGCATGTTTGGCCGCAACACTTAATTTTGTACGAGTTTAAAACTAGCGATGAAATATTTCATGCTTTTGTGACGTTTACACCCAAATGTATTACGGAGCTGTTCTGAGTTGGCGCAGGAGCGCCTACAGTTGCAAGACGATCCATCGCGCGCAGTCACTGCCCCGTTCACTTGACTCTCTTGTTAATGGAGACGTTCGTTCATTTCTCAATCCGCTTGTCCTGGTCAGGGTCGTGGGCGGCAGCATGTTGAGTAGGACGGTCCGGATCTCCCTTTCCCTGGTGCCAGACTCCAACTCTGTCTGGGGAATTCCCAGGCATTCCCAGGCCAGTCGAGCGACATAGTCTCGCCAGCGTGTCCTGAGCTGGCCCCGGGGTCTTCGCCCAGACATGCCCGGTAGAGTTTCAGGGGGAGTCTACCGGGGGGGTGGGCATCCTTACCAGGTGTCCACACCACCTCAACTGGTTCCTCTCAATGCGGAGAAGCAGCGGCTCAACTGTGAAGCTCTCCCGGATGGCCAAGCTCCTCATCCGATCACGGAGTGAGCCCGGCAACCCAGCGGAGATACCTCAGTTTGGCCCCTTGTACCCCCCCGTGATCTCATCCTTTTGGTCATTACCTAAAGCTCATGACCCGAGGCGAGGGTGGAAATGTAGATCGACCTGTAAACCGAAGCTTCGTTCGAGAACTCAGCTCACGCTTCACTACCACGGAACGGTACAGTGCCCGCAACACTGCGGACGCCGCACCGATCCGCCGGCCGATCTCCCACTCCCACTTACCATCACTCACGAAAGAGACCCCGAGGTACTCAAACACCTCCACTAAGGGCAGCTGTTCCCCTCTCACCTGGAGAAATCAATCCAGATTTGGAGGTGCTGATCGTCATCCCAGCCTCCACGCACTTGGCAGCAAAAGAGGACGTCATCTGCAAAAAGCAGCGATGCCACCTCCATGCCCCCGTAACTGGACACCAAAATACGAACACAGCTCTCACTCCGGGAATACAGAGACCAGATAGCGCACAAAAGCGGCACCGGTACATCATACTCCCGCAGCACCTCCCACAAGACATTGCGGGGAACATGGTCATCTGCTTTTTCCAAATCTACAAAGCAGAGGTAGAGTGGAGAAGCATATTCCCATGAATACTCAAATATCTGTAAGAGGGAAAAGAGCTGGTCCATTGTTCCACGACCATGACGGAATCTGCATTGTTCCTCCCGAATCTGAGACTTGACCACCGGGTGGAGCCTCTTCTCCAGCACTCTGGCGTAGGCTTTACCTGGGACGCTGAGGAGTGTGATTCCTCTGTAGTTGGAGCAAATCCTCTGGTTCCCCTTTTTTAAAATGGCAACCACGACCCCAGTTTGCCAGTCCAGAGGGTACTATACCATTGAAGAGGCGTGTTAACCACAACACTCCTACACTGTCCAGCGCTTTCAACAATTCTGGGCGAATCTCGTGCACCCCAGCAGCTTTGCCGCTACGAAGGCCTTCGACCGCCACAGCGACTTCAGCAACAGTGATGGATCCGACACCCCCCAGCTGTTTACAGGGCTGCCTCCTGAAAGGAGGGCATGTCCACTGGGTTAAGGAGCTCATCAAAGTGTTCCTTCCACCTCTCAACAATCTCCCTAGTTGAGGTCAATGTTACGCCACCCTTACTGAAAACAGCCTGGGCCACGTCCCGTCGACCACTCCTAAGGCGTCGGTTGGTTTACCAGAATATCTTTGAGAATGCCCGATAGTCCCTCTCCATGTCCTCTCCAAACTCCTCCTACGCCCGGGCTTTCGCTTCAGTGACTCCTGCCGCGCTCTTGGCCAGTACCTCTCAATCGAGTCGGAAGACCTTTTTCTGAGTCTGGCTCAGAAAGCCTCCTCCAACTTGACAGCTTCCCTCACCACTGGTGTCCACCAGCATGTCCTAGGGTTTCCGCCATGAGAGGCACCAACTGCCTTCAGACCACATCTTTTCACACCACAGCTTTTCACAGCTGCATCCACAATCGAGGTCCTGAACATCGTTCACTTGGACTCAGCGTCCACAACCTTCCCTGGAGCGCAGGAGAAGTTTTCCCGGAGGTGGAAGTTGAAATTTTTCTGCACTGGGTCTTCCGCCAAGACATACCTGGAAAACTCGCAGTATTCACTTGGGCCTTCCACATCTATCTGGTCTGTGCCCCAAGCGTCGGCTCCAACTTACCACCAGGTGGTGAACAGTTAACAGCTCTGCCCCTCTCTTCACCCAAGTGACCAGAACATACGGCCTTAGGTCCGATGATACAACTAGAAAGTCAATCATTGACCTTTGGCCCAAGGTGTTCCGATACCAAGTATACTTTTGAGCATCCTTGTGTTCGAACATGGTGTTTTGTTATTGACATTCCGTGACTAGTACAGAATTCCGATAACATTTCACCGTTTGGGTTCTGATCAGGGGGGGGGGCCCATTCCTTCCAATCACGCCTCTCCAGGTATCTACATCTTTCCCACGTGAGCATTGAAGTCGCCTCGTAAAACTATGGAGTCGGTAGGCGGCACTCTGTCGAGCACTCGACCCACCATCTCCAAGGTTGAATACTCTGAATTGCTGTTTGGTGCATACGCACAGACAACAATCAAGAGTTTTTTTTCTGAGACCCAAAGTCTCATTGAGGTGACATTCTCATCCACTAGGACAAACTCCAGCTGAACAGCACCCAGCTGGGGGCTTCTGAGTATCCCCACACCCATCCAGGGCCTCTCACCAGGGGTTACTCCGGAATAGGAGACCACCCCCTCAACTAGCTCTGGATCGATACTTGGTTTTTTACCCTTCTATCTGGCAACAAAACTGACACCTTTTTTTACAAGGAGTCATGTTTGCATGGACCGCAATACCTGCAGTCATAATGCAAACAAAAAACATAACTCTGATAATGTGCACTGTCCTTGAAGTTGATTGGTCCACACCCGAGACAGCTTTCCTTAGAGCCTAGTCTCACATGGTGTTGGACCAGATGACGCCAAAAGGCGTCAGTTTTGTTGCCAGATAGAAGGGTAAAAAACCAATTATCATATTTTTTACTGGCAAATGAGGTTCCAATGGTAGCTCTGGATCCTCCCCCCCCAGTGACATTCCACGTCCCAATAGTCAGCGTCCATCGCCAAGGTCTAGTCCGTCCGAGACCATCCCTCTCCCTGCTATACTGGCATCGCACCCGCCCCTGACCCTTCGTCATGCGGATGGTGGGCCCACAGGACAACACCACATAGCTATTTTGGGCTGGGCCTGACCAGGCTACATGGGTCACCTGGCCACCAGGTGCTTCCGGGCGAATACCACCCCCAGGCCTAGCTCCAGCGGTGTATCCCGTTATCTGTTGTTCCGGCACGATTCTCTGATTTTTGTATTTTGGACCGTTATGTCTGGAACCTCCCCCAAGATCTGTTCGCGAAAACCCTACCAGGAGTATAAGACTCCAGGTGACATAGCTCCGAGGGTCCTTGGAACCCACAAACCCCACCACCACGATAAGGTTACGATCCTCCGAATGGAGAAGTGAGAATGAAAGTTGTACTTTCGAGGCGTTTGGTGAGAGGCGATCTGTCGTGTGAAGGAACCATTTTTGATGACAGCATCTAATGCCCAGTAGTCTTGTCCCAAGGTACGAATTGAGTTCCTGTAAAAAAAAAAAAAATTAAAAGTTGTTATGTATTACAATCACAGCAGATAGGGTAAAAATTTAAAGGAATGTTATCAATATGCTACTAGCTTTTTTGCCCGGTCAAAGGACGGGTGTATATTTCAGGAAATCTGAAATATTCAATAGAAAAATTGTTCATCTCATGATTATCAATTAGGGGGGAGGGGTTGCCCCATGTGGAGTGACGTCACCCGCTCATGATTATTAATGAGGGGAGAGGGGTGCGTCATGTGGAGTGCGCGACCTTCTTGTGCGTTAGTGTAAATTTCCACGTCGGCATGAATATTAATGAAGGGGGGGGGGGGCCTCTTTTGCAGTGACGTCACGCACGGATGTAGCACTGTGCTGCGAATATTTATTTTTAAATCCTTTATATTAAGTTCGCTTGCTTGCTTAGGACCGTGCAAATCTTTCGGTCGTTTTTTAACCCACTTCCCGTGATCCAATCGAGCTGACATTTACCACACAGACTCGTTGTGCGTGACAATTAATGGTCGTGAAAATTTTTTTCCAAAATTTTACACTTTTTAGGACAATAATATTATATTTAATTACCAATTGCTTAATGGTGCAATGCAATAATCTGACCCATAGGTGGCAGCCATCTCAAGCCAGAGGACGAGAGGACTCTAGCCACCACGCATATAAAGGATTTATAGTGAAAAACTTTGTTTTTACGGGTTCTACTTATTCACCGCCACTTTCTGTAAAGAAACGTCATATTTGAAGCGACGTTGCGCAATAAATTATTTAATTCTGCTCGACCTTCCTCTGCGTTAGTGTAAAAATCATGTGGAGTGACATCACGCGGGGGGGTGGGCCTCATGTGGAGTAACGTCACGCGCGGGACACACACACATTCTCGGCTCATTATATTAGTAATGTGGGGGGGTGGGTGTAGTGAGGGGGAGAAACCGGTCCCTTCACAGCTTTCCCTACCGCTGTTGACGCGTCGGGCGCTAGCGGCTGTGCTCGTAGACGTGGCGCGTCGCCTCCTGGCGGCACAGGCTGCTGAAGGAGCAGTTGGTGCACGTGTAGAGGCCACGCGTGTGTTGCCACGACACCCGGCGCTTACTGGACAGGCCTGTGAGGGGGAGGGGGGGGGGGCGGCACACGGTGGGGGAGGGCGGAAACGCGGTTAACTCCCGGTAACCCATAGGTGCATTATCCATCCGGGTTGTAGATTAGCTGTGCTCGTGCCATTGCAATCGTTAGTTGCTCCTCACTTGTCGGGGGATCCCAGCACTGTGTAGCCTTTAACGGACTGTCGGAGAAAGTGCAGTTAGCGAGCAGCGCCTATAACGGCCGGCGAGGCAGACGAGGGCATGGGTGGCCAGCACCACGCGCAACTGCCTTTGTCTCCCCAGTACTGTTTATGCACAGCACCAGATACTCATTTAAAGCTGAGTAGGCCGAGGGAAGACCAAGGACTGGTTCGGATATCATTCGCCATTGATGTCAGCCATGTCCAGGAATCAAACTCAAAGACACAGGAAATGGTCATGCACACACATATTTATACACCCTCACAATTTCACTCGCCTGTAATGCACCCGATCCCGTGAGATCAACACAAGTTAGGCCGGTATGAGCTTGGATAGTGCTCAGATGGATGACCACCATGCACCATGGGTTATAGGCTGCGAAGCTATGTGGTGGGCGGTAGATGGCAGTTGTGACGGTTCTTCTTTGCTTCTACTTCAATGATAGCCAACTTCACCAATCTGCACTGACCAGCGTAATTAAGTATGGACAAATAACTCCTGCAGCCTGCACGGCCTGGGGAGGCTCTCATCCAGCATTAGGTTGATGAAGAATTGTACATGCACAACTAACCTATGTGCCAGCATTCAACCAGGACAAGTTTTGAAGTTGCAGTTTAAAAAATAAACTCTTGTGAATTTCTGACAAGATGTAACCTCAAAGCCAACCTCAAGCAACATCACCAGAGTACAAATGCCTTGCTTGGCTTACATTAATTGCTCCCAGTAATTTACAGCCAATTGTCAATCCCCTGCTGGATGAAGGCTTCCCCAGGCCTTGTTAGTTATGGGGGTTAATTGACCATACTTCACCACACTGGTCAGCGGAAGGGGGAGAGAGAAGGGGGTGTTGTGCCCCAAGACAAACCGGCACGACCAGCGTGGTAAAGAAGAAATAGCAAACAACACCACACTACTCATGGCGTTGGGAGGGGAGGGAGGGGGGGAAGCCGGTCATCCACAAGCGGATCGACAGAGTGGCGCTGCGCTCCGTGTACACACGCGTACACTCACCCGCCGCCTTCCAGCGAGCGGAGCCCGCCTGCCAGCCCGGGTGGCTGTGATGCGCCGGCGGCAGGAGGCTCGCTACTCTCGGCGTCAGTGGCGTCTCATCCTGCTCCGACGCCAAGGCCGGCGCCGGCGCCTCCGCCTCCACGCCGGCGCGGATTTCAGACGCGCCACCGCTCCCCCCCATCACCGGTGCCACCGCCTTCCCCTTCCTCCCTCTCACCGGCGGCGGTGGTGGCGGCGGCGGTGAAGATGCTGGAGGAGGGGGTGTCCTGTCATCACAGTCTGCCACCGGCGACTCCGTCCCGCTGGCTCCCGTGTCGCCCGAGGCCATAGCCAAGGCCCCGCAGCCTCTGTCGCTGGCGTCGTCTCGCGCCACCGCCGCCGCCCCCCGCTCCTGCGACGCCAACAGTGGCGGTAAAGCGGGGCCAGGGCAGGAGGATCCGTCGCCGCCGCGAGCTTCTTCTTCTCGGATCCACCGCGTTTCCTCCCCGGCCGCCCTGTCCGTCCTCAACTTGAGCAACAGCGTCTTTGTCGACGCTTTCCCCGCCCCTTTCCCCGCCGCCACCACCCGACTCCGCGTCTCGCTGCCTCGGCCGACTGCCTTCCTTCGTCGCTTCGGCGGTCCCGCCTGGGCCGACCCGCCGTCGCCACCGTCCGCCCCGCCACCGTGGGCAGTGCTCCTCGTGTCGGGGTGAGCCGAGGTAGCTTTTTTCTTCCCTTTGGGAGCGCTGGTTCGAGCCGCCACGCCCATGCCGCTCTCCGCTTCTCCGAGGCTCGGCCGACAGGAGGAGTAGAGATGCGGGGCACCGGCAGGCAAAATCAGGTCACCCATTCGCCCCGCCCCCTTCTTCTTTCCAACTTTTGAAACCGCGGTGATCACACCGTCATCGCCGCTCTCCTCACCTCCATGGGGCGGAGCCGGAGGACGGGCAACAGAGCCAGCCGTAGTCACGGTCGATTTGCTGGCATTGCCGCCAACTTTCTTACTCTTGCGCTTAGACAGGCTGGTCCGCGCCGGGGCGCCGTCTTCTCCGCTTTCATCGCTGCTGTGGCTCAGGCGCGGTGGAGCAAGGTGCCGAACGGCACTGGCGCCCTCCGTGCTCCCATCCGACACGGCCAACGCCGGTCTCTGCGAGTTCTCCATGGCGTCCTCACTCGGCAGCACACGTTTCAGCGTGGGGGCGGCACTCGCCTCCGGCCGTAGCAGCACGGCCACCGGCGATGGCGCTTCCTCCGCCGGCGCTTCGACTGTGCCGCCCCGGCGGCCAATGCGCCGTTTACGCTTGCGACTGGCGTTGGACGCGCGACCGGGGCCTAGCTTCAGGTGCGGCATCTCGTGTTGCTCGTTGGATTTCAGCTTTGGCATCGGAAGGCCGCTAGGGAGTCCCAGCGGCGGCGACGGTGGTGGCGGCGGCGGCGGCGGTAGAGTCGGCGGGGCACCGGCGCGCTCGCACGTCAGTTCAGGCATCTTATCCACCGCTCGCCTCTCCTCTGATGCCGCGTCAGGGGGGGCGACCGTCACGTCAGAAGGAAGGGCGGCCACGGCACCTGCGAGGGGCGGCCGCGACAGGAGCGGCGGCGGTATCGGCGACAGGCGAGGCGGTCGCGACGTCGGCGGCAGTGGCCGTGATGTCGGCGGAGGGGTCGATCGTGGTACTGAGAGGGTTGCCCTCGGCACCACAAGGGACAGCCGCGACGTCCGCGCCAGCGGCGGCCGCAGCGACGGGGAGGGCCGCCATTACGCTGGCGGGGGCGGCCAGAATGCTGGCGGGAGGGGCGGCAGTTGTTCCGGTCGTGGCACGCGTGCTGCGTCTCCCGAACACTGAACCCGGCTCGTCGTGGTTGAGGCACACATGCAGGTGCTTGAAGAGAGAGCGGTTTGTGTTGAACTTCTGCTCGCACTTTTCGCACCTGCGCAACATATCAAACAAGCACACAGGTAGGCGCTTGTAGGAGATGACACTCCCATACAGCTAGGACAGGTACTCTGACAGTGTCTCTGTGGGAGCACATTAAGACACGAGGCAAAGGGCCCAGTCTTGGCTTAGACTGTGGGAAAATGCCATTAAAGACGAAACTGGAAAATAAGTTGTTCTGACATAAGTGTGAAGCTTTATTAATGAGATAATAGATTTAAAAATAGATGCATACATACAAACAAGATATACACACACCAACAGCAAACATGCAGACAGACTTGCACCTGCAAACAAGTACAAAGCATCTTCTTGTTTCTTTCGGTAAAGTCACGTAGAAGGGAAGTAATAAAATAATAAAAATAAAACATAATAAAACAATTCTCACGACGTTTCGGCTACAACGCAAGCAGCCGTCTTCAGGTGAAGAATGAGACACTACCAAACTAGGAGCTTATATATAAGCTGCATTGGGGGTTGAAGAGCGCCTTAACAAAAAGAATGTGCATGTGAAGAGGAATTTAGCATATTCATGGAAAATGCGTAGGCGTTGGGCGGGGGGGTGTCAAAGTCATATTATGCCCATGCATTATGCAGGATCAGCAGCAACCAAGGGGGGTGCAGGGATTAGCAGTAACAAGGATTAGCAGTAACAAAGGAAAGGAATGTTAATGATATGTAGCTGATCCTGCATAATTACTGCTAATCCCTGCACCCCCCTTGGTTGCTGCTGATCCTGCATAATGCATGGGCATAATATGACTTTGACACCCCCCCGCCCAACGCCTACGCATTTTCCATGAATATGCTAAATTCCTCTTCACATGCACATTCTTTTTGTTAAGGCGCTCTTCAACCCCCAATGCAGCTTATATATAAGCTCCTAGTTTGGTAGTGTCTCATTCTTCACCTGAAGACGGCTGCTTGCGTTGTAGCCGAAACGTCGTGAGAATTGTTTTATTATGTTTTATTTTTATTATTTTATTACTTCCCTTCTACGTGACTTTACCGAAAGAAACAAGAAGATGAATCCCTGCAGTCACGAAAGCTTTAAATCGAAGTACAAAGCAACAGCACAAACACAAACGTGCAAAGAAAAAGATCCCCCTATGTCATTGGAGCAAGTGCTGTTCGCAAGCTACCAATTAAGGCCAGCGCGGCACACGAGGAGGTAGTGTGTGCGGCCAGCACCACGCCGGGTTGGCCTGGTCTCCCCAGTGCTGATGTTTATGCTCCGCAACAGGTACTCATTAAAGCCGCATGTAAATATGCACGCACACACACCGACATGCACATAGCTAGGTACCAACACCATCACACATATGCTTCACCGGGCCTTACCTGAAAAACCGCGTGGGCCGATGGTGAACCCGCATATGCCCCATGAGGAGTTCTATGCTGTCGAACGCTTCATCACAGCTGCCGTCAGCCGTGCATAAGAACCTTTTGCCTGTGGGGATCGATACATACGTTATATTCCATACCCCTGTTTACAAAACCAGTGTTTAAATCACAATACTAAGATATTGAAACCTATGACAAACTCATCAACAACAATAAAACACTGAATCCCAACAGGGGTGCCATGGTGGCGAGATGCTAACTACCTCGCCTGGTATATAGGAGGGTGTGAGTTCATTTCCGACCCTGACACCTGTATATTTGGAGTTTGCGTGTCTCTCTCCCAATGGTCGTGCAGAATTTTCTCCGAGCCCTCAGGTTGTTTTCCATCCACATTTAGAAATATGAGTTTAGAGTATTTGGCTGCGATACATTTCCACATAAGCCACTTCGTTGAGCTATAATTTGTGATAGCCAGGTCGCTTCTGAAAATGAGTTGCATAGTTCAGTGGGCCTTACCTGGTAAAGTAAAAATTGTTTAGTTTATCTGAAGCTCTTCTCTATTTTCTTTCCATTTTCTGTAAAAGGACCATTGCCTGGAATGTCGCCGATTACATACATTTCGTTTTCATGCAATATTGACAAACTTAAGGTAAGCAATACTGGAACCAGGATAGTGCTCGAATGGCCCATAATCACGCGAAAACAGGTGTCATGTGATCTGGGGCTGTGTTGTGGGCATTAGAGGGCAGTGCAGCAAAATTGTTGACCTGTAATTCTATTTACATGCTCCTGTGTCCAGCGTGACTAAGTACAAATAAACCCCATGACCTCGTCCAGTAGTGGATTGATGAAAGGGCTGTACAAGTAATCTTCTTAAATCATAAGATTGTTAAATGCATGTGCTGCTCCCTTTAAATCACAGGAAACCAGAATACACGGACAAAACCCCAGTGAGCGTTTCAGGGGATAACGCTCAGAGGTCCACACCAGTTACTCTTCTAACCTGCTTGCTTCGTGGTCAGCTTGCAGCCCAGAAAGTTTGGTAGTCTCACAAGGGCAAACGATGCACAAACTATAGTCTCCGCAACGCTGCATCAGGTTATGTGGACGTTAAGGCCACGTGAAGTGTCGAACGCCCGCTGACAGGTCACGGGACAGACCCAGGTGCCATAGGTTGCCTGACTGAGACGACTGGCTGATACACCACCTATGCCCCCTACTGTGCCAACTTGTTGTGCTTTAGCCACCCGGCGCTCCGCTCGTTGTTGTGAGCATCACTCCTCTGCCCTCCGTTGTTGCTGGAGGGCAGCTGCCTCCAACTGCCCAGTAGCGTCCTTCACGAGCCTCCTCCACAGAGGCCGATCTTGACACCGCTGGTACCAGTCATCGGCAAGTCCACTCAGCTCCACGTCCTCCTGTACCACATCACTCCATCTCTTCTCTAGCCCGTGCCGTGCCCGTTTAGCCCCCTCTATCCGGCCGAACAAAAGCTGTTTAGGCATGCAGAGGCCGGGCATGCAGGCTACATGACCCAACCAACCAACACACACGCATGTGCTACCTTTCATCGACTGATGGACATCCGCAGTGGAAATTGACCATCTTCCCCTTGCCTTTGGCGGAGCCATATCCTTCGAGTAGCGGCTCCTCCCTGTCAGGCACAGAAGCACAGAGATCACAAACAAATGCATGGCTCATCGTCTAAAAGCTGAACGATGCCTCTTTAAAAAAAAAGCCGTCTTACTTATTTTGTCAGTGTGCTAATCCTTCAGTTTGTTTACAATATCACTTTGTTCGCTGGGTTTGATTTCTCCTGATGCACTGTAATTTCATCGTGAAATTTCCTTGTGAAATTACAGAAGTGTAGCGGACTGTTAGGTCGAATTAGGCATCGTCATTCACGTGGGTTAAGCGTTATGTGCTCCCGCGACAGATCATTGCACTTTCAAGTATTGAGGAGATGGACGTCATTATTTCGTAGCAGAAATTCGCTCAGGTTAACTACAAACCTAGTGATCAGACAAGCTCAACTTTGCATCCCACTGGGATTTTTGCACACAGCGTTGGTGTACGGTGATTTTTTTTTCCTGCAATATTTAGCTGTCTTTTCTTGGATTTTCTGTTTGCACTTAGTCACATATTCACTTTAAGATGTTTTTTGTGCATGTTTTTGTTTGTTCAAGAGCCGAATGGCTCACAGGGCTATACCTAATAAATGAACTTGAACTACCTTGGTCACTGAAACTAACGCAGGCGTCAGACAGCAGCGATGTGAATGTGCACGGTACGTACCATCTGAAACTCGAGTCCTCCTTTAGAGGTTCAAAGAGAGCACAAGCCATTGCTGCTGCTGCTGCTTTTACGTGCCGGCCTCACACATCTGTTGCAAAAGAGAGAGACATGTCAATGTGTGTTGCTCACAAAATCACACTGCACCGTCAATTACATACACATACATAGGCCTGGTTTCAGTACCATGAAATGCCACATTTACACGTTCAGCAAATGTTAACTCGTCTGCAAATTACGTCTTAGCAGCAGCAAGGATAGCATGCAGATGCCTTCATACAGCAGTGGATTAACCATCACTGATAATTAAGTATTGGTGCTTGTGATGTAAATCAGCTTTCGTGCAGCTGTTAGGATAGTTGCACGGCAGGGCCGCGAGGGATGACGACTACGGGCTGATGGTGACGGTAATGATTGTGTACACACAGCTGATAATGATCATCCCTTCGTGGCTGTGATGATGCACTGTGTGCAAATATCAACGTTTTGGTCGCAACTTCTGACAAAGGGTTACTCACTTTATCGACTCGTACAGCATGATGGGCTGTATATAATCTTATGGTGCGGTGGTTAAGGCGTTCAACTCGCAAACCTTTGGATTTACCGGTTAACTGGCAGTAGTGAGGTTAAATCATCACCACCATCATCACTATTATCCTCAAACGGGTCGCTAAAACGAGTATCACTTTGTGAAAAGTCAACAGTGGACGCACTTGCACCCGTCATACGAATGTGGAATGTCACCCACGGGCTCATACAGCTGTAGAAAACACGTTTTGAGCATCGCCAGCGACTTTAATTGATTAGTAAAACACGTTACCACCGATATCGCGTATCGGGCTCATGTTCAATTCACTGCTGGATGAGAAACATCCAACACGCCCCGTGGTTCGCCCATATCACGATGTCCTTTGGGTTGTGAGCATGTATTTGTTCGGTGGGTGTGTTGGTGGTAGGAGTGGTGTAAACAATTAAAAGGTATTAACAATTTTTTAAAAAAAAGACGTTACGCGAAAACGTGTTGGCGAACAAACGCGACTCGTTTTGTGTGCAAATCCTCCCGCTCGCCTGAACGAAGCCTCACCTGGGCCTCCCTTCGCCGTGCTTCCAAGCGGAAAAATACGAAACAAAAGGCGCCGTACGTCGAGGGATAGAAAAACAAAAATGTTTTTTTTAAATATAAAAACCCACAACAACAAAAAAACCCCACACACCCACCCCACACGCACCCCCAACCCCCCCTGAAACCCCGCGGCCAACGCAGCCGTCGCTCCGCCTTAAATCGCCGCGGCGCGCTACGAAAACAGCGACGTCGAGCGCAGTTTAGCCGGGGCGACTTTGTAAAAAAGAAGCCTCGGCCAAGCCCCCTGTGTGGAAGCAGCACTCGGGGGTGGAGGGGGGGAGAGGAGGAACACCACCACCGCCACAACCAACCACAACCACCAACAACAACAACTCCCCCCACTGGCGAAACGGTGGTGGTGGTGGTGGCTGCTCGCGTTCACTGAGAACGTTGGGAGGGAGGGGTTTCAATTTCCCACCGCACATGGGAGAGGCTTCCCCCCTCGCCCCGCCCACCTCCGCCCTCGCCCCGCCCACCTCATCCCTCGCCCCGCCCACCTCCTCCCTCGCCCCGCCCACCTTCGCCCTCGCCCCGCCCACCTCCTCCCTCGCCCCGCCCACCCCCACCCCCGATTGGTGCGAGGCGACCCGCGCGGACCAATGGGCGAGCGCGAGAACGGACAAGGCGGAGCGCATCGGCACTGCGATATCTAAAGAGGGGGCGGATTCGATTCTGTTATTGCGATGGTGGGGGTGGGCTGGTGGTGTTATCGCGAGATCGTGGTTGGTTATGCCCGTTATGAAATCGCCAAGTCTCGCGATGTTTTGTAGGTGGGTGAAGGAGAGAGGGGGGGGTATCGTCCGTTATTGGGGGGGTGGGGTGAGGGGCGTGGTTTTTTAACCGATTCGCGATTGTTGAGCGAATCGTGTATCGATTAACGCGATGAGTCGAATCGATTTAAACTCGGGATTTTGTTTAAATTCACAAGCAGAATATTTATTGAGACTGGAGGAATCCGAAGAGCTATAAAGCTCCCCCTTTTTTTCCAAAGGTGGCCAGTAAGGGGCAGGTCAGAGCGTTACAACAACAAACAGTGAAAAAACACGATAGGAATGCAAAGTATAGGAAAATTTTAACAAATCACTTAAAAGATATACAAATAAAACGATATATATTTATATTCTTGATTCTTTCGGTAAAGTCACGTAGAAGGGAAATAATAAAATGATACAAATATAAAACAATAACAATTCTCACGACGTTTCGACTGCAACACAAGCAATCATCATCAGGTGTGATAAAATAATATTTTTTAAATATTTGTATTTTATTATTTCCCTTCTATGTGACTTTACCGAAAGAACCAAGAATATGAATCCCTGCAGTCACGAAAGCTGTAAATCGATATATATATATTTGTTTGTTTGTCTATGGGCCGTCCATAAATGACGTCACGTGATTTTAGACAATTTTAAAACATGCTTCAAATCGCTTTAAACTATTGTCATTGTAGTGCGTATTTTATGTGGCGCTGCACTCTGATGTTGTAGGAGAAAACATTTATTCAAAAGTATAATTAAGTAGAACGTGTTGTCTATTTTTATTGAAAGTTGCGCATTTTGATGTGACGTCACATTTCTAACCCCCCCTCGTCACACATCGTCACACATCGTCACAAATGCCTGACCCCTCCCCCCCCCCTAGGTGCGTGACGTCATTTATGGACGGCCCCTTACCATGTAAAGCCCATTGAGCTCTTAGTTTCTTTTTCAGAAGCGACCTGGCCACAAATGACAGCTTCAACGAAGTGGCTTATCGGATTGACATTTATAACAGCGAAATAAATAAATAATAATATCATTGATCGCACTAGTGGGTCTACGATATTTACGTGATTCCGTAGGTTTATTAATAAAATGGAAAAAAACTCTTTGGTTCTTTCGGTAAAGTCACGTATAAAGATAAAATAATAAATTAAATACTAGCATACGACGTTTCGAATGCAACACAAGCAATCATCATCAGGTGTAAATGAAATAGAAACACACATCTAGTATACTTACAAAATGTAATACAACAGAGAGTCGGATAACATAACAGTCAACACCCTACCTGGTTTATTACGTTCTTCCTGAGAATGATAAATCTGAGATTGAGATAAAACACAGAACCAGAGACATATAGACAGACATATAAGTAGACAGATATCACAGAGATACATAGAGAGAGAACAAACGAAAAAAACCGCACTAAAGTCTCCCTCAAATATCCGTCTCTGCAAATAGTATTATTTTTCACGTAAGTCCAGCAGCCACAATGCCCTTTGCTTCTGGGAGTGCACAATTCTAAGCATCATCTATTCAAATTTTGATTTAAAGCTTTCGTGACTGCAGGGATTCATATTCTCGGTTCTTTCGGTAAATCCTCTGGGCCAATGTCCCCACTAACAGCGTCTCATCAGTAGTAACGCTTCCTTCAACCGATCTTACTGGCAATGACCCTCTCATGTAACACTTGTGTTGAGGAGTACCCACGGACGCACTCGGAGACGCAGGTAAGTTGAGAGGCTTCCGCCAAAGGTTTATCAAGGATATAACAATAACACACACCAGGGTATACAACTTCCCAGGAGGGGGGGGGGGGGGGGGGTTAGGGGTCCTACACTGAGTCCTACCATATGACCAGGGGCGGTTTCTTCATTAGGGAGATTGGGCGACGCACCACCAATGTCATTGAACCACAGAGTCACGCTAGCCGTCACTGCAGCCTCTGGATATAGTCCAATCAGCGTCATGTCACGTTCTGTGGAGTACCGCCTCTTTTTGGGCGATTTCACTCCGGCTGAGAATCGCCCAGAGTGGTCCCATAGACTTACATTCAAAGATGTTTTTTTTCGACCGGGGGGCGCTCCAATGCATTCTCTATGGCTTCCGGGAGGGCTCGCACTAACGTGCTCACGTCATCATACGTAAGCACGTTTCATCCAACAATATAATTTGTGGCCACCTAGTGGAATCTTTAATAAAATAAACTTGAGTGGTTTGTTTTAATAGTGAGTATATAAACAAACAAGATGTATTGTAAGAGTCACTTTATTTTTCATTAATATTAAAGAAGTGAAGTTGCCTTTACATGCTTAAGCTGTTAATTTATCCATTGCATGGGTGGACCTTATCCTTATCAATCATCCAGACATTTGCCCCCCCTGAGAGATTTTGCAGGAGCCGCCACTGCATATGACCCTGCTCTGTCTGGTCCCAGCCCGGCTAGCTCCGGTCTCTCTCTCTCTCGTGTCGGATCGGGGACTCTACCGACTCCACCGACCGGAGAGAGAAACACCTCTACGGCTACCACCGGCTTCTCTTCAGACAAACCTCTTGATCCCTCCACCCCTGGTTCTCTCTCTACCCTTCTACCATCACCCGTTCCCACAGTGACCCCGCTTTCGTCACGGGGTCTCTCTTTAAGTACTCTAGGAGACGTGACGTCATCGCACTGAACGGCACACCTGACGTCACGTCCCCATTTCACTCCTCTACACTTGTGCCGAACTCAAAGTAATCATATCCAATGATAATAAGCTAAATAATAATTGACGACAAAAGAGTGATTCCACAGATGTTGCTAATCCCAGCTCCGTTGAAATTGAATGCTTTCCCGTGATCAATTGTATCGGCAGATTACAGTGTTGTGCAGGAGCAGTCCTTTTGTAAAGCCACTGCTGGATGAGGAGCTACCCACGCCATGCTGGTCGTGTGGGATATTTGACCATACTTCACCACTCAGGTCGGTGCGTGTAGTGGGGCAGAGTACAATGCTGCTCTGCCCTCTGCTGCCCACCGCATTGACAGATCGTGAACTCGGGACCCATATTCATAATCAACGTTTTTGGGTGAGATCGCGTTATTTATTAATGTGTCGTAACTCTCCACCACCCGACACGGCCAATCAGTAAAAAAAGTGTAACGTTGACAAAAGACAAATAGTTCACTACTTTAGCCCACCGGTGTGTTGAAGAGTGAATCCACAACATTTACAATTTTTTTGAGTACAACGTTTCGCTGGTAATTACATCGAGCATCATCGGGCAATTTTTGTAAATGTTGTGGATTCACTCTTCAACACACCGGTGGGCTAAAGTAGTGAACTATTTGTCTTTTGTCAACGTGACACTTTTTTTACTGATTGGCCGTGTCGGGTGGTGGAGAGTTACGACACATTAATAAATAACGCGATCGAACCCAAAAACGTTTATTATGAAAAATATTGGTCGCGAAAGTCTACGTGTTAAACTAGGGACCCATATCTAAGAGAGAGGGTGGCGGTATGTCAACTCCCTCGAATTCATATTCTTTGGTTCTTTCGGTAAAGTCACGCAGATATAAAAAAAAATCAAGCGAATATAAATATCACGACGTTTCGATCGCAACACAAGCGATCGTCATCAGGCAAAGGAGTCAACCTCGAAGGGCAACCCGTTTTATAAAAGTTTGGGGATGAGCATCGTATCCCCGAGTGTGTATCAGGATATGCAGGAGGCCATGGATTCGTTTCCGACCCTGACACCGGCTGTATATTTGAAGCTTGCATTGTTCTTCCCGTGCGTCGCGTAGATTTTATTTCGGGGTCCTCCGTTTCCCCCCCCCCCCTTCTTCCACATTTAGAAACATGCGCTTAGAGTATCTGGCTGCTATACATTACCACACGATACGTTGAGCTATCATTTGTGATCGCCAGGTTGCTTCTGAAAATAATCTACATAGCTCAGTGGGCTTTACCTGGTAAAAAAAAAATACACTTCTCTGATGGCTTGGGAGGGCTTTCAAACGTCTAACTCACGTCCCTTCTGTTATTTATCAAGCAGTGGGGAGATCACGGCTGATGATGATGATGATTATGGCGACGATGTTGGCTGTAAAAAAAAAATCCTGTATATTCTTCAAATCTTGTACCGTCTTTTGAAATACATTAGTTTTCACAAAGCACATAGCAAACGTCACGTCCTTTATTTAACATTTCCTCTTCCTGAACCTCAAAAGTAACCATTGAGGTATTCTAGTTTCACTTTGCGTTTCCCGGTGTTCATTGGTTTTTTTCGCTGTATTTCTGTGACGTGAAAACGGCTATGGTTTAAGCATCTTTTGTTTAACTTTTTAATTATATATCGAGGATACGTTACATGACTAGAACGATGTAATTGTCACAGGGAACTTATAAGGTATTATTATCAGGTATTAACCTCTTCCACGACGAACGTCAGTCTGTTGCTCGTACGCATGTGCTTACGTGCATTCTTAACATGCAGTGGCTAATAATGATGAGAAATATTAACTAATTTCTGTAAATGTTTGTGTGAACAGGGATGGTCAAACGACCCCAATGATAAGATTTGTCGAGTGGGGATCAGTGAACCCTATCCAGCAGTAGATTGACCAAGGTCTGCCCGTACATTCGTGTATTATAACCAAGGGAGTACGTGTCATTGTTGCAGCTATGTTTTTTTTTACATCTGCACGGACACGGATGTCTTATGTCTGGGGTTCTGTTCGTATTGTCATGGTCGATCCACTGCTGGATGAAGGCCCTGCTAGCCATACATCAGTGGAAAATTAACATCGCAGGGACGAGAGATGGTGGTGGCTTTGGCCGACCTTTATCCAGCAGTGGATTGAACGTGGATGATGGTTATGTACAACTGTGTGGTATAATGTATATATATACCATTTATATAACGTAATTAGAGTAAAGTACTCAGTTTAATATATGTACAATGCTCTTGCTCCATCGCGATATGTATAGACTCTAAACAGTACACTTTGTGTCTATATTATGATTGTATAAAGTTCGTTCAATATTTGTTTCAAGTACTGTGTACATAGAATGCCAATAATGATGTACAGCCCTTTGTAAATCTACTGCTGGATTAAAAGAGGATTAACTAACGAACCGAAAGATATCCCGTCAAATATGCATTCCCATATGACGGGAATTGGACATTTTGTGTCCGTTCAATGACAAGTTATTAAGAATTTTAATAATAACATCTTGGCCTTGGTCCACTGCACACATGTACCATAATTGTATATGCAATACACTTGTATCTACTTAAGAGTCCAGGGGCGGGTAACCTTTTTCCTGCCAAGGGCCATTTGGATATTCATATAACATCATTCGCGGGCCATACAAAATTATCAACTTAAAAATGTGCCTGTTATATTTGGTCAAACATTTTATTAACTCACCCCTAATGCGATGGCTGGAACTGCTTCTCTTTGGCGAGGCGTGTGATGTTAGCTGGTATTGTTGATGTTGCTACTCGCAACTGCTTTTCCAGGTTTGCTCCTAGATTTATCGAATTTCGAGTCCCGCCTGCGGTTGCCTTGGCAGGGCCAGAGACCAAATGATTTCGCGGGCCTGATACGGCCCGCGGGCTGGACGTTCCCCACCCCTGACTTGGACCTTGGCCTTATGTTTAGACAAAAACCGTGTTCCACTGTGCTATTCAGGTAACCGTGTCCTTATTGTCTTTGATGATTTTCATCTCATGGAGAAATGATGGTCAGTAATTTTTTTCACAGAAAAAACACAGTGAAGAGACCACACACAGTAAATCAGGTGACCTCTGAAGATGGCTGGTATTGAAGATCTCCGAACTTCCACTGAGGTATCTTGCTTCACAGCAGCACATCATTTCTCCAGGGTCCATAAAACTTGTACCAATTTTTGTAAGACAACAACGATGATTGTTTCACGGAAATTTCCACCTCTCGTTTAAGGTGGCCAGCAGAAATTTTCACTAAATACCAACGACCGACATTGTGTTTTAACTAAGTGTTTAAATAAAATACCGCAAACACAACTGCGTAGGTTTTCGTGGCTGTGCTGTATAGCTCTCACCGTTGTGTTTTAAGGTTGCGTACCGTTTGCTCTTTGGCACGATGTCCAACGTTTTCTCCATGTGATGGATGTAGTCAATTCTTTAGAGTTGCTTTTCTGAGGATAAAATGCAACCTAAGAAAACGACTTTGGGTTGCACTAACTCTTACTTTGTTACCAAAGCAACACGTATCTACAGCAGCACGTGGCTTTAATTCTGGTCCTGTAAATATAACACTGACAATTTGCATTTTAGAATTGCATCATGCATTAAACACTGCTATTTATATACAGCATTTTACAATTCCTTTGCATGAGTTGACTCATTGCCCGAAAGTCGGCCTCCCATAATGCACTGCGTGCCGTGCCATAACTATAACTCTGGCTCCCACAATGCATTGAACGCAGTAACGTAGATACTGATGGTTAAAATGCACAGCAGTATCACTCCAGTGATGTCACTCAAGGGGCACTATGATGCCACATAAAAGCTACACGACTGTGACTCAACGCTTTTATTTTTGGTTAACAACGCTTCAAACTCTTGTCTGAAAATATAGGTATGCACCTACAAAGCAAGGGCTACAGTTTGTCAAAGCCCCTATTCAATCTCGGCACAGTGGGAGGTAGCTCATTCTTCTCAGCTGTCCCCATGGTCTGAAACTCACTTCCCCCAACCACCCTTGCTGTCAACTCACAGCCACTGTTTAAGTCCAGATGTATACCTTACAATGTTTCCTTGCGCCTGATCTCCTCTTTCTGTCTTTAAAATAAATATGCTCGTTTCTATACAAGTGTGTTGGGATGCGATTTCATTTGGATGCTGTATTTTAAAAAGAAGTCACATTTTAATGTGACTTTAGTTATACTGTACTGATGCAGGGCATTGCAAGCTTGTTTACATGTTCTCTTTGTTTTTCTATCACTGTGGTATGACACAGAAGGACATTGATACTGCTTATCCGTCAAAATCGACCTCACCTAAATAAGTGCATTGGTTATGCACCAGATGAATTTATAGATGAGCTGGATCGAAACGATTACATCGATCGAAGTATATACAACAAGTTTAAGGACATGAAAAGTACAAACAAGATTGAGGCCACGAATTATGTGTTGAACTGGCTGTACGATGGTGGAATTGAAACTCAGGTTCAGATGCTCAAGGCCCTGCAGAGAGTGGAAGACCATTATCCACGAGTCAAACGATGGCTCAAAGATGTCGGTACGTAAACTCTTTCAATAAATAATTGTTTTTTTTGAAGATATTGCCAATTGTTTATCCAGGAAAGCCACAACACAATATTCTCGGCAGATTCTAGGATACAGCGTGTACTCAAATTATTTAGCTAATTCTGGTGCGGAGTACTCTGATAAATACTTATTCTTAACAAAACCATGTTATATTTTATACCGCCACTTTTTAAAAAAAATGTTCTTGCTGTGGATTTCACACCTGATGATGATTGCTTGTGTTGCAGTCCAAACGTCGTGAGAATTTTATTGATTTATATTTTTATTATTTTATTGTTTCCCTTCTACGTGGCTTTACCGAAAGAACCAAGAATATGAAAACCAGTTATTTCCACGAAAACTAAAATCTATCCCATTTACACCTTGTATTGTTATTTTACAGCTTTAAAAATAAATATTACAACACTTGAAAATCGCTATATAAAAGAAAGTTAAAAAGTCACCACTGAAACAAAACTCAGCTGACTCTGGAATGTACATTGCACCACTGCTTGAGTTATTCCACAGGGCAGTACTAAACTTGGATGGCTTGCAAAGCTGAGAGACACAGCTAACAACAAGTCAGAATTGCTTTTCAAGTTCAATTGTTGAGCTTTGTGGGTGCAATTTAAGTAGACAAAAAACGATTTCGCTACGTTTTAAGGGATTCCCAAAAATCCCCATTATTTGTGGGACACAGGATATCCACTTATTATTTCAGGGACAAACTTTAGTTGCAAAGCATCATGGGAGATATCCATAATGCCCTACGTGCCTCTTGTTGGCCAGAACTGCATCTGCATAGCAGATTGCCATCATGCTTTGAGGCACAATTATATTATACTTGAGCATGCAATTATAAATTAGTTGCTATTTCACACTATCTAAATGTTTAAAAAATGTATTGATAAAGTGGTAATTAGGTTGTGCGTATGTCCAAATCTGCCAGAATATACACAATATCTTCAAATCTTGGAAGCTAAGCAGGGAGCTTAATCAAATATCATTAATCTTGATTTAAAGCTTTCGTGACTGCAGGAATCCATACTCTTTGGTTCTCTCGGTAAAGTCACGTAGGTAGAAAAATTAAATAAAACAAAAAATAATATATCACGACGTTTCTATCGCAACACAAGCGGTCGCTAGTCTTTACGGTAGTGTATATAATATCACGATTGTGAATATTTGTCAAGAAAAGTTCTATTGTTTTGGGCATGAAGTACCAGCAAGTGGTTTATAAGTTAAATCAAAGGACAGGGTTATGAAATAACGTGTGGTTGGTTGGTTTTGCCGAGACTGAAGTCAGGTTTAAGCTTAAGATGTTTAGCACAGGACACGTGCGTGTTTATTTAACGAGTGTAATTGAGTCAAGGTTGAATGGAAATAATAAAATAATAAAAATAAAACATAATAAAATAATTCTCACGACGTTTCGGCCACAATGCAAGCAGCCGTCCTCAGGTGAAGAACAGGTCTGTTAGAAAGACAGGTCTGTCAGAAAGACAGCGTCTTTCTGACAGACCTGTTCTTCACCTGAGGACGGCTGCTTGCGTTGTGGCCGAAACGTCGTGAGAATTATTTTATTATGTTTTATTGTTTATTCTTTTATTATTTCAATTCTACGTGACTTTACCGAAAGAACCAAGAAGATGAATCCCTGCAGTCACGAAAGCTTTAAATCGAAATTTGAGTCAAGGTTGTCCTTGGAATTAGGAGTCTGGACCTTTATGTCATGTCATTGACAGCCATTTGAAGTTTATGAATTTGGATCCAGTAGCTGGAAATAAGGCAAACACTTGACAGTTCAACTTGAATGTAAGAATCACACTGTTAAACAAAGACCCCCTGTATAGTCCGGAACAGACTTTTGGGGCAAGCGCTATTAGCGAGCACCTATGAAGGCCAGCATGGCATACGAGAGGGTGAGTGGCCAGCACCACATCCGGCCGCAGAGTGGCGATGTTTACACACAACACCAGTTATCATTTGATTCTAAGTTGACCTAAGGGAGGCCCAAGACCGGTTCAGATAATCGTCACTGTTATATTGGTCGTGAGCGGGAGTTCGAACTCGAGTTGCCAAGTTTGTAGCACAATGCGCTAACCACTGTGCCACTGCTCCCCACATTTGCCTGCACACACACACACACAGATGCTAGGAGCCTTATAGCAAGAGCAGATGAAGATGCATTGGCAGCTGAGAGGTACATCGCCAGCATGCCCAGCCCGCTGAGCATTCGGATGCCGCGCGGCGTTGTCTCCGAGACTCGGGAGTTTGTCGACGGTGCTGTAAGTGGCCAGGGCGAGGGAAACGTTGGAGGCCATTCGGGAGCAATACCAAAGATGCCCCATCAGTCCTTCATTGACATTCACGCCAAGCGGCAAGGTGTCGGTCAATCCGGACAAGCCGGTCCGATGGTGGGGTCGTGGCGTGTGGAAAGGCTGTCGACGGATATCGGAAACCTGCAGCTGAGAAGTGAACCCTGGACGCGGACCGCTGGCAAAGAGACCGACAAGTTTCCAGTGGTACAGGAAGACCGGAGTGACGACCATCACGCTCCTCGCGTAGAGGAGGGGCAGAATGACGAAGACGACTTCTGCTCGTTTGTGATTCTGCACCACGAAGACGACGGCGATGCAGCCAGGCAAGTGAAAAATGATCTCGAACAATTCGGGGTAACTGGCGGCGCTGTGTACGAAGACCAGTTTCAAGTGGGGGGGTTCACGCCTTTTTCTTGCTTGGACAACTGCCATCAATAAATCTGCCTTCATCATCCTACTCTTGACCAATAACTTCCGTAGCAAGTGGAATGAGTTCGTAACGCACGTCACCCTCATGAATTCCATCCAAACCCCGAACAAGAATAACACGGTTATTCCACTCTATCCCCGAGAGAATGCACTCCCTAAGGATGATTTGCCTAGACCACTGAGAGCATTGACTTCCCTGGATCAAGTGAGTACAAGGTTTGAGATTCAAGTAAAAAATACGTTCCCCATACCCAGAATTCGGGAACAAAGGAGAAGGTGGTCAGATGAACAGGCTCTATCGAGGAAACCTGATAAGTGACATTTAGTCAAACCCTACTGTTGATTTCTAATATTCTAAGACAATATTCCCTCGTTATTCGCGAGGGATACGTTCCGGAGATGCTCGTTAATAGCAACTTTGGAGGATAATGATATTTGCCGGAAAAAAACTGTATATATTTTTTTCATGAATGACCTTAAATCACTTTATCTCATCATCACTTTCTTTCTCTCGATGCCAGTAGTCGTGCAGAGTTCCATATGCGATTCGCATGCAGCCAAAATCACGGATAGCAAGTTTATAAACAACGAGGGAGTCATTCTAATTACTCGACAGCTGGCCCGGACGAGGTGGTGCACGGGAACTCATGGGAGCTGTTCCAGCCGCTCCAGTTGTTCCCGGGGCTCCAGCTAGGCCAGCTGGTCCAGCACGCTCCAACTTATTCAGCTGTTCTAGCTGCTCCAGCTGTCCCCAAGGCTCCAGCTGTTCCAGCTGCTCCAGCTGTCCCCGGGGCTCCAGCTGCCTTCGCTAGGCCAGCTACTCCAGGTGCTCCACCTATCCCCTGGGGCTCGTTGTTGGTTTTTCTCAGGCCGTGCCACGGGGACGATTTTCTCATTCCTGTGTTTCCCTGCCAAGATCCCCTTCCCTCGCCCCATGCCTTTGTAAATGATTATGTGATGTGATTGCATTCAGAAGCCATACAAAATCAAATAGTTGCTCCGAGTCGGTAAAATGGTCACGAACGTGACAGGTTCCGAGCACACCTGTGACAGCCACAACATTCTACATGGGACATTGGACACGGCCGCAGAGCTTTGCTCACTTAGTATTATAATCGCCGCTGGTTGAAGGCCTCCCCCCTCGTGCTGTCCGTTAATCTTGCACGGCCCTGCGATGCCACAGTTCACGTACTGGAGAAATATGAGGACCCAGTTGCTCAGGAGGACCCAAAGGCGAGTGGACTTGCCGATGGTTGGTGCCAGAGAGCTTCCTGTGTGGGGGAAGGTCGTGCAAGACTTTATTAGCAACAACGACAGGTAGACGAGCGATGCTCACGGAAATGAATCCTCCAGACCTGGTGAAGACTGTTTGCCAGACTGACTGTTTGATCTAATCCACCACACCGCACGTCAAATAACTTCCCTTTTTCATTGGAAATCACTGCTGGCCTCTCTCTCCCCAAGCACCTACAGTCACCTCGCTCGGTTCAAGAAACGTTTTAATTTGTATACACGGACTCCGCTACTTCCGAACTTTCAGAGATACGAACAAACCTGTCCGTATGTCCAGTTGCCTGTTCAGGACCGAGTCATAAGTTCACCTGCTTGCAATAGATGGCGGTGGTGGCATCTACATCTGCAGAACGTGAAGAACCAGTGGCATCTACATCTAAAGGAGATTAATAAACTTGTTAAGCCATTCCTCGTATTTAGTGTACATGCTGTACGACTATGTTTGGAATCGACAGGAGTAAAGTTGGACTTCGACGTACGAACAGACCTCTGAAACCTAACTCGTTCGTATGCAGAGGACTGCCTGTATCTATTGCATCATCAGTATTGATGTTTGTTACTGGTCGCTTGGTGTTTCGTTCCTGTGCTTAGCAACAGTGATAACAAAAGGAGAGAGAGAGAATCAGGCGGATAAAGCGCAGTAGTGTGTGAGGGCTCAGTGTGAACAGCAGAGGGAATTCAACTTGATACCTTGAAGTGTGTTGGCCTGCGATGTGACGACTCTCCATCGGCGAGCCTCTGCGGTACTCAGTCTTGCACGCTCTGATGAAGTGACCATCGTTAATCATGATGCGATTTGTACATATACTATATATACAGGTGCTGTACTCTTTATAATGTATGTGACTTTTTGATTAATTGTGAATACTGTCTATCATGATCATCATAATTGTGCAGCACTTGTAGGAAGACGACATAAAAGTGCAAATCGATGTTAAGTTTGTATAACGACAACCGATAAATAAAAATATGTGTTTGAAGTCAATCCAGAGCATATGTTGTTAATGCACATGCATTACATTTGGGTGGTGATTTTTTTAAGAGGGAGGAATTTACATTCAAATAATTGTCAATCAGATCAACTTAATATGGTGTGTTTTGCATTGAAACATTGCCAACTTTTTTTGTTATGTTTTAATTAATGATCCTGTTCACTGACAATTATAATTTCCACTCTAAAATGAAAACTTACAGCCCTCTTGTCATTCCACCGCTGAATAAAGGCACCCCACGCCGTGTCGGCCATGGTGATTGTTTGACCATAAAGTGGGTTGTTGATAAATGTATCAACAATATGCAGGTAATAGCGTTCATTTAGACAGGAAAGCCTCACTGAAGTTTAAGACTTTTCCAAGAGTGTCCTACATTTGGGATTTTTATGGAAAATCAATGCGGTGATGCTTGCATTGTGCTCCCCCCACCAATCAAAACCACTTATGCCCATGCCTCCCCCCTCCAGGTTACTAAGACCACAAACGACAGAGATCACACATCGACACATCCAGCCAAAGCGGCGTTGGTAAAGCGTTTCATGTTGTGTACCCGTGTGCTTAGTCGCCGCAACGTGCCACTCACTGACATTCCTCGGACCCATTCAACATTTATACTAACTTTATAGCAGAAGATACTACTATAAAGTTAGTACTTACTACTATAGTCAGTGGATACTACTATAGAGTGAATATATACTACTATAGATTCAATATTTACTACTGTAGAGTCGGTATATACGACTGTAGAGTCGGTGGATACTACTGGAGAGTCCGTAGATGGTACTGTAGAGTTCGTAGATACTGCTGTAGTATCGGTGCGTCTCTTCTTCGTTCTCTTGCTCGACGCTCGAGGCTTGTGTGTGTGTGCGGGTGGCGTGCGTCTCACACACACTCAGTCAGAGACGAGGTGGTCGCAGGAGGCACCGTCCTCCCCTTTTATTGTTGTTGAGTTCACGCTACCACTCAGGCCCCCTTTCAATCACGACCATGCTGCCGCACGACCCGTCCCAGACACGACCCTGTCCGCATTGCACTGACGGCGTTGACTGGGACAGCCAACTACTGTTCGGCCGCGTAATGATTGGGCGAAGGCGGGCAGCGACGAGGGCGGCGATGACGACAGCGACGACGAGACGAGTCCAATCCCAGAACCGGCAGCCAGGAGCTCTCACCCTCCGCTGCTTTTATTCCCTTTGGCGTGGCTTGGCTCGGCCCTAGCTGCGCCTCCCTTCTCGAACCCACCAGAGGGTTCCAGGGGCTTCCCCACGAGGTCTGCCATGACCTTTGCCCCAGTTCCTCTGCCCTGCCGGCACACACACCGTGTATATGATCAGCAACGTATGCGCTAAGTGCCCACCTGCAGTTGCAGCTATGTCACTACACTGCTATAGAGTCAGCAGATACTACTGTAGAGTCAGCAGATACTACTATAGAGTTAGTAGCTACTACTATAGTCAGTGGATACTACCATACAGTTAGTCGATACTAATATAGAGTCGGTAGATACTACAGTTGATTCAGTAGATACTACTATGGTCATAGATACTACTACAGTCAGTAGATACTACTATAGAGTCACCACATACGACTGTAGAGTCGGTAGATACTCCTGTAGCGTTAGTAGATTATATTATAGAATTGGTGGATACTACTGTAGAGTCAGTAGATACTACTATAGAGTTAGTATAAACTATTGTAGAGTCAGTAGATACTACTGTAGAGTCAGGAGCTACTACTGCAGTCAGGAGATACTACAATAGAGTCAGTAGTTTCTACTATAGTCAATACATACTACTACAGTCAGGAGACACCAATACAGTCAGTATATACTGCTGCAGTCAGTAGATACGACTATAGTTCAAGTTCATTTATTAGGTATAGCCCTGTGAGCCATTCGGCTCTTGAATCGGGTGCAACCGCAACAAACAAAACACAAAAACATGAACAATAAAACATCTTAAAGTGAATATGTGACTAAGTGCAAACAGAAAATCAAATTAAAGACAGCAAATTATTGCAGAAAAAGCACCGTACACCAACGCTGTGTGCAAAAATCCCAGTGGGATGCAAGTCAAACAACAACAACCACAAGACAACTTAGATTAAGGCCATCAGCCTAACTCTGTACTACAACAAACAAACATGGCCAAACCAAAAAACTTTTCGAGCATCACCAAAATAAAGCCATAAAAGCAATGACACAGTGGTCGTAGGAACGGTGACCGAATTTTCACAATAAACGACATAAACAACATGTACTACCAAACTCTGCAGCCATAGCTAGCTGCATGAGTCACTCCACAACAGTAGGAGCATCAGTCGGAGTATCAACATTTTTCAATGCACCTTTAAGATCAGCACACTAAATCAAAACACAGATCATACTTTGCAGCGATCATCAGGAGCAAAACATTGTATTTTAGGCCACTAAATTGCAGTGGCAGCTATGGGTGTACAACTCCTCTAGAGCAGTTTTGAGTGAAGATCTCATAGGTAGTGATTCAAGTTGCAGTTTATTGGCAATAGCATTCCAGACCCTGGGGGCATCAATAGCAAAGGCCCTTCCTCCAGTATTTGTATGGCAATAGGGAATGTGAAGCTGGTAAATGAGCGAAGACCTTAGGTCAAATTTGTTCTTTGAAACAGAGAGGAGATCTAGCAGATACTGCTATAGAGTCTGCAAATACTGCTATAGAGTCAACATATGCTATTATACAGTCAGTAGATACTACTATAGCCAATAGATACTACTATAGTCAATAGATACTATTACAGTCAGTAGATACTACTACAGTGAGTGGATGTGGTGCCACGACCACGGAGCAACTCCGCAAACGCCGCACTCCCCTCCCGGCCCCAACACTAAACACACACCCACACAGAGTGCACCCACGTCATGTCCTGACGGGGGGGTGCGGATTGCCTGGCACATCGGGTTTTAATCCGAAGGGCCCCTAGAGGGAGAGTCCCACGGTTTCCCGGTGCCAGGAGATTGGCCGACCCTCACAGGACAGGTGACATTGCGGTGCCCCGAAATTGGCTTAAGATTGTATGGGCGCAGAACGAAGAGGTTCACTGGGCCAACCGCAATGAGTTACTCATGACACTGGGAGAGGTGGAGGGTGGAATATTAGGCCAGAAGAGCAGCAGCAGACCCCGTGGCCCTCCATGTAGACAGCGCAGGTGAGCACGCGATTGGCTGCACAGTACAATGCCACCTTGTGCCTTTGAAGTGAGGGGATTAGGCCACGGTAGAGACGATGGAGGTGGACGATGACGGGGGGCACGGGTAAGCGCCCGATTGGCTGCGCGGTATGACGTCACCCTGGGCCTTTGAAGTTGAGAGAAGAAAGATAGGTGCCCCGGGACGGTGAGGGGAGTTGTCTTCAACCTCCGGGCGATCCAGACCCACTCCTGGCCAGTCCTACCTCCTCCAGCCGCTCGCAGCATTCGTGTGATGCCCGCAAGTGCTGCTACGAGGCAGTGATAAGCAAGTCACTTGCCTCGTAGCAGCACTTGTGAAAAGTCCACCTCAAGAAGCACAAGGTGCTCGCCCTCAGGCAGCGAGGTCGGGACGTCGGCGTCAGCGAGCCGCGTAATGCAGCAAATGCTGAGCCGGTCAGCAATCCCGGATCGCCTCCTGGTAAAGTTTTAGAACGCGGTGGTTGATTTTGTCATCCAAGGTGCAATTTCTTTGGGAGCCACCGGCAGCGACAAGTTCAAGACCTTGGTCCAAACATTGACGCAGGGATACGAGGGCCCGTCGACCCGCACCATCATTCGCAGGATTGTCGAGCATCACGCCATCATGCTGCCCATCATCGAGGCGTTCTTCTCCAACCTGGACGTCACCATTTTGCTCACCATCGACGGGTGGTCGAACCGCAACCTGAAGGGATTTTGGATGGTCACGGTGCACTGGATCGACACCAAATCTTGTGCGTCGAAATCCATGCTGCTGACGATCCTCGATGTGGAGACCGGAAGGGGTGTCGGCAAGCACATTGGCACCATTCTGTTTGAGCACCTCCAAAGCTTCGGGCACAATGTCTCGACCAAGCTGCTCACTGTCCCCAGCGACAATGGCTCCGATGCGATCAGTGCTGTCAAGACGTTCGCCCTGTTCAACGTGGACGCCGGATATGAGCAATTGCAGGCTTGCCACCATATTCGCTGCGCGGATCATTCGGTCCAGATCGGTGTCGTCCAAGTTCTCAAAAAGATCAAGTCGACCAACGCCGAACTGCGTGAGGCGCTCGTGAATATCAGGCGCAGCAAGGTCATCCGGCAGTCGTACCGCCGCAAGGCCGAGATTGCCAAGCTCGCCAGCAAGGAGCCAATGCACCAGGACTCGTCGATCAGGTGGAATTCGACGTTTGACATGGGCGATGACGCCATCAAAAAGCGTGTCTCATTGGACATTATCATGGCGCACTTCCAGGATGTGATCGGCATCGGTGCTTTCTCTGAACTGCAGTGGGCAAACATCGAGGGCATGACAGCATTCCTGCGAATGCTGCGCCAGGTCATGACCTCGTTGTCGGCGGACTGGCAAGTCAACATTGGATCTTGTGCGGGTGACGATGGAGCACCTGATCCGTCATTGCGATCGCGGTGAAGCCGCTCTTAGAGTGATCGATGAGTCCTTGACTGCGACGGGGATGAAGGCCGAGCTGGTACGGTACTGCGACTTCCTTGATCAGGAACCCGCCATTGTGGCATTCTACTTGAATCCACAGCTGGCAAAAACGACAAACCAAGACGAGCTGGCTACACTGACGGCCACGATCCACTCTGTCCTGCAGCATCGCTACTCGGACAAATTCGCGATCCTGCCGACAGCAGTCGCTGCCTATATGGAGGAGGGGTCGCTGTTCAGCACCCTATTCAGCAACGTTGGCAGCTCCATCGATGACGGCAATGAAGTCGAATCGTTTTCTAAGCATGGGCGTCACGACCGCCAGTGCCTTCATTGGTGTAATGCAGTGGTGGTCTCCCCGCAAAGTGCTGCTCCCTGTCCACTCCAAGATGGCCTGCGACTACTTGGGAGCGCCGGCGACGTTAACTCCCTGCAAACGAAAGAATAGTGGAGCTGGGCGGGAGTTCACATGGGTTCGCCCGTCGCTGTTGTCGACGCTGTTCATCCAGTCCATGTGCTTGTGCTCTTGGATCGCGGCCGGCTGCCTGAAGGTCCCGTCTAACCGGGCTGGAGCGGCGCAGGATCTTATTGCCCGTCGTTCGTCCGAGAACGACGGCAAAATGACGTACTTGAACAGGTTGTTGATGAGATCGTCATCGACCAAGACGACTGGGACGAGGAGGTTATGGAGCCTCAATGCCCGATTCGAGAGTATTCTATACGAATAAAGCGTTCTACCTTGCATTTACCTATTATAAACCTTTTTCATGTGTAGTACGCCGGTAATTACCCTGTAATCGGGTAATTTGAATGGGGTAAAGGTAAAAAGTAGGGTAAAGGTAGGCTCGTTGCTTTTTAACTTTGACCTTTTCCCTTACCTTGCTAAAGGGTAAAAGGTAAGGGTAGAGTGATTGTATTGTGGTAAGGTAAAAGGTAGGGTAAAGGTAGGCTCGTTGTTTTTACCTTTTACCTTACCTTGCCACGAACTAACCTGTGCCCCGACCGGGCATCTGTGAACAAAAGAGCTTTCTATCTGGTTTAACGCGTAGGCTTTTGCGACCAATATCATCCATAAGAGGGTTTTTTTTGGTTAGAGCGTGTAAATAAATACATTTGTCATTATACTCACCACTACCCGACACAGCCAACTAGTAAGGGCTGTCATGTAAACAGAACGTGCCAATTCGTCACTAGTACAGCACACCGGTGTGTTGGAGAGCCAAGCCACAACATTCACAATCTGAGTACGACGTTTCGCCAGTAATTATAACTAGTTTCATCAGGCGACAGCCAGAATTGTGGAGAAGTCCACCTGTTTTATAGCTCATCGGATTCATCCTGCAGTTATACCTACTATAATCACCCAGAATGTCTGTCCTTGACGCTCGTGACGTCCCTCCACATTGACCAGCACCCCTCATTAATAATGATGTGCAGGTGACGTCACTCCACATCGAACAGCCCCCTCATTAATAATCATTATAAGATGACGTCCTTCAAATGGACCCCCCCCCCTCCTGCATTAATAATAATTAGCGGCTGACGTCACTCCACATGGGGGGGGGGGGGGGGGGGCGAGGCGCCTGATGAACAAGGGATTATAATCTTTAAATCAAATAAGTCTGTGTCACCGCAGCCTTACAAATTGCACACGAATGGATGCAATGAATATCACGTCGCGGACGGGCAAAAGGCTAGTAAATTAAATATTCAAATTCTGATAGTTTCATGTTGAACTCGGACCCATATCCAACAGAGAGGGGGTCCTTACCTCTAACCATCTGGCAGTTCACCAGTAATTGATTCAAGAAAGCCTGACTGCTGATGAGACACGCAATATTTCGATTTGAAGCTTTCGTGACTGCAGGGATTCATCTTCTTGGTTCTTTCGGTAAAGTCACGTAGAATGGAAATAATAAAATAAAATAATATCGACGGACCTGTTCTTCACCTGAGGACGGCTGCTTGCGTTGTGGCCGAAACGTCGTGAGAATTATTTTATTATGTTTTATTTTTATTATTTTATTATTTCCATTCTACGTGACTTTACCGAAAGAACCAAGAAGAGACAGCAAACGTCGAAACCGGCCCAATTTTTCATAATATTGAACCAAAGCTGCTGGATGTTTTGCACTTTCAACAGTGTAGGGGGCTGACGTCCACCTCCCCGCTCCCCGTGAGTGGGCGGGGCACGACGTCCACTCCCTCCACTCTCCCCTTCTCCTTTTCGGCCATGTCTCGCCGTGCCCCCGCGGATCGGGTAATCGGCCCCCCCGCGCCAGCGCCCTCTCTGAGGGACATTGCTACTCGGCTGGCTCACCACCGCCCGGGGTTATCTCCCCCACGCACACGTACACCACCACTAATACAGAGGTGGCTGCGTGCACGCACGCGCCCCTGCAGGCGCTCGTTGCACACAAAGGCTAGCGCTAAAAATATCAGTATGAATATGCACGTGCCTCTCCTGGTGGTTAAGCCCTAATCCGCGTGCCTGCAATGCTAATGCTAATATAAACTGAAAAGAAACGGCGGCTGTATGAATATGCACACCTACCCCCCTCCATAAGCCTTAATCCGCTGTGCATACAGCGGATTAAGGCTTATGGGGGGGGGAACGGCTGGGACAGGGCTATGGGGCACGCCTCATCGTTAACGCTATTTCTACTGTGTGAATGTGCTGCGTAAAGCTCGCTATGTAAATACGCAAGTGAGCGCAAGCGCGCGCCAACGACGGCGGCTCTGTGTGCTGCAGTACACGCGCCTCACAGACACGCTCAAATCACTCACAGCACCCCCACGTTGCAGACGTGTGTCTGTCTTACACACCCCGCGTAAACCATAGCGGTCGTAGAGATGGTAATCTACGCGCAAACGGTGGGGAGTGGATTTAGCGCACTCTGACCCCCACCTTAATCACTCACACGGCGCAGCAGGTGCACGTTTTATACACACCGCGCGAAAACCCGCGTAACCAGTGGCGGTCGTATAGATGGTAATAGATGCGCACCTCACACACCAACCCCGAGCCGCCACTCTGCAGCCCCGCGCTCACTCTCACGCCGGGCACACCGTCTCTCCACGCAGATGCGCCACACAGATCACAAACGCTACGCCGAGGCTCTGCCCACACACACAGAAATCACACTACACCGATATTCTGAACTAAAGTTTATTAATTGCGCCAAAACGCATTACCCGGAGGAGGGATATTTCGGGAGGAAAGCCTAGCGTAACTCTGCCTATGAACCCAGTTACACAAACGTTCTACCCCGTACCTCGTAGCTGTACTCACGGCGTCGCACCGATGCTGTGAGAGTCGGAGGGAGAAGGACGAGTGAAAACCTCGCCTATCACTACCTCGTAGCAGCACTCGCTGGCATCACATGGATGCTGCGAGCGGTTCGAGGAGCCAGGCCGGCCGGGATTCGGTCTGGACGGCCCGGAGGTTGAAGACAACTGACCCAATCGTCCCGGGGCTCCCACCTTTATCCTCTAAACTTCAAAGGCCCGAGCGGGTGGGGCGTTGCATTGCGCAGCCAATCACTCGCCTACCTTTTTATTTACAACTGATGCCCCGCCCTCATCTGGAGCATCCGTTACGCCTCCACCCATCGTATTTTTTAGTTTGTGCCTTTGTTTTTTTTGCTCTTTCCACGCCTTACCCATTGTTCTCTCGTGCCCAGTAGTTTGAGCCTTCGGTTTTGCTCTTTACGCCTAATATTCCACCCTCCGTCCTCCCCCCAATGTTGTGAGTAACTCATTGCGGTTGGCCCAGGGAATCTCTTTTTTTTGCGCCCATACAATTTTAAGCCAATTTAGGGGCACCGCAATGTAACCTGTCCTGTGGGGGTCGGCCAATCTCCTGGCACCGGGAAACCGTGGGACTCTCCCCCTAGGGGCTCTTCGGATTAAAACCTGATGTGCCAGGCAACCCCCCGCCAGGACACTACGTGGGTGCGCTGCATGCGGGTGTCGTGTTTATTGCGGAGGCCGGGAGGGAGTCGCGGCGCTTGTGGCGTTGCTCTGCGGTCGTGGCACCACAACAGCACGTTTGGCTGATTGGATGTAAAGCAAGTAAACATGCCGTTTATATATATTTTATGTGGACGGACAGATATGCACGTGAAGGAGAAGGAGGGGTGTTGTTTGGCTTATTTTATAATAACACTAGCTCTACTTCCCAGCTTCGCCCGAGACTTGGATTCTTGTCTTGGATTAATACGCAGCCTACGCGGAGGGTTTGGGGGGGGGGTGCGTGACGTCAGCAGGCAGACTGCGTGACGCTGCCGCATGCGGGTGACATCACAGATGTGACGTCACCGCTCACTTGCTTGCAAAATATATCCATTATTGCGCCCCCCCCCCAAAAACACATTCCTGTGGAGGGAGCTGGTAGGAACGTTGGGTTGCTCGGTCAATGTTCAGGGTCAACGGCGGCGTGGTGTATTCCGCAAATATGACTGTGAGGGCGGGCACAAGCCGGCGTGAGTAGGTTAAACGTTGAGTTTTATAAGGGCACCACGGGGTGACCAGCCACTCCCCACCCAGCCCCACCCCTCCCATCCCCCACCCAGCCCCTCCCCACCCTCCCCTCCCCACCCAGCCCCTCCCCACCCAGTCCCTCCCCACCCTCCCCTCCCCACCCAGCCCCTCCCCACCCTCCCCACCCAGTCCCTCCCCACCCTCCCCTCTCCACCCAGCCCTCCCATTTTTGATGCACGACGGACGGACACAATAATCCCCTGTGGGCTGGTGTAACCAGGTGATTCCTACCAGTAATACAAGTCTACTTTTATGCTTTTTGCATTGTGTACAGTCTGGAAGCTACCCACATGGGAAATATGCTAAACATTTCGAACAGACACACATATTAAAAAAATCCCCTTTTATAGAAAGTTTAATTTAATTAAATAGCATAACATTTTAGAGGCTCGGAGGTGATAACCTTTGCAATGGCAACACTGCCATACCTCCGGGAATCGATTCGCTAGGTCAGGGGAAGCAACGATCCCACTGTGAATCGATTCGGTAGAGCAGGCGGAAGGCGACGATCCACCCCCCCGCCGGCGAATCGATTCAGTAGAGAACCTAATTCCCCCCGGGGAATCGATTCTAATTCCAAAACTAATTTTTTGCCGGGAGTTAAGAGTGGAGGTAGCGGTTATCACAACAATTTTAACTTTAAATAAAACGCGTCAAGATGTAAACATCTACACGCGCAGACGAGAGTTAGTCCGTATCAGCGCGGCCTTTAAGCGCGACGCAACTCCAGTGACGTGTACGAAGTAGGGTCGTGGTGAGACCCGGAAGACTGCCCGCCCCCCCCATAAGGTACAGTTCGCTAAAGTTAGATCTTTAAGACGCCTTTAAAATTATACAAAATGTACTTACGAGCGTGTGCTACAAGCTGGTTGGGTGGGCGAGGGGGGTCTGACTTAAGAGATCACTGTGTCGAGGTTTAAACGCGGCGAAAAATAAAACCGACTTTTGTTTTTCGAAACAGCCACTTCGTGATTTCTAGATTTGAAGCTTTCGTGACTGCAATGATTCATATTCTTAGGTTTTTTCGGTAAAGTCACGTAGGTAAAACATCAAAATTAATTAAAATAAAGATCACGACGTTTCGGAGGCAACACAAGTCTCCGTCATCAGGTGGGACCGTCACAGCCACTTGGTGATTTGTCACCGTGGAGAGGCAGGAATCTATCCAGCGGTGGAGAGGTCAAGTCGGAAGTTCGTGGTAAGTCGGCTACTGCCGCCGTGAGACTCACGGAGAATTCGTGATACCCACGGATAACGCGTGGGACCCACGGGTAAATTGGATGAGATCCACGGGGTGATGGGTGATACTCACGGATAACGCGTGGCACCCACGGATATGGGATGATATGATGGGTGAGACTCACGGATAACGCGTGGGACCCACGGGTAAATGGGTGAGATCCACGGGGTGATGGGTGATACCCACGGATAACGCGTGGCACCCACGGATATGGGATGATATGATGGGTGAGACTCACGGATAACGCGTGGCACCCACGGGTAAATGGGATGATATGATGGGTGAGACTCACGGATAACGCGTGGCACCCACGGATATGGGATGATATGATGGGTGAGACTCACGGATAACGCGTGGCACCCACGGATATGGGATGATATGATGGGTGAGACACGGATAACGCGTGGCACCCACGGATATGGGATGATATGATGGGTGAGACTCACGGATAACGCGTGGCATGGGTGACACCCAGGGGTAATGGGTGAGAATCACGGGGTATGCGTGAGATCCACACGGAACGCGTGAGACTCGGGGATAACGCGTGGGACCCATGGGTAAAAATGGGTGAGATTCACTGGGTAATGGGTGAAACTAGCGGATAACGCTTAAGACTCATGAGCAATGGGTGAGCTCCACAGATATAATGTGAGACTCGCGGATATAGCGCGTGGCACGGACGGGTAAATGTGTGGGACCCACGGGTAAAAATGGGTGAGATCCACGGGTTAATGGGTGAAACTCGCGGATAACGCTTAAGACTCATGAGCAATGGGTGAGCTCCACAGATATAATGCGAGACTCGCGTATAACGCGTGGCACCGACGGGTAAATGTGTGGGACCCACGGGTAAAAATGGGTGAGATCCACGGGGTAATGGGTGAAACTCGCGGATAACGCTTAAGACTCATGAGCAATGGGTGAGCTCCACAGATATAATGTGAGACTCGTGGATAACGCGTGGCACCGACGGGTAAATGTGTGGGACCCACGGGTAATGGGTGAGAATCACAGGGAAATGCGTGACATCCACGGGGGATGCGTGAGGCAGAATTCTGCTGAACTCCAACCAACTCTATTGACTGGCCTCTTGCGTTCTCAAGTTAATGGTTTATCTGATGGTAGTAGAGTTCAAATTTGGCTAAAAACAACGTAACAGTCTTCAATAATGGTGTGGCCTTAAAGATGAAAAAATATATAATTGGTGACATTTCAGGCAATGACCCTTCATATTACCTAAAAGCTATGGAGGTAGAGTGGATAAGGATGACTGTTCCTTATTTACTGCACTTCTCTACTCCACTTCTCTCGCCTCTCGTTTGTTTCCCTTTTAATACCACATACTGTTGTTATTATGAATGATTGTGTTGAGTTTGTTAATGTGTCCTTGTGTATCACTGCCAATGCAGCAGCAGCAGCACCACCAAATACTTGTTTTCATTTAGCCATCAAAGTCCAGAGTAAAAAAAAACCCCACTGTTAATGACATCGTATTGATTGTTAAGTTAACGTTGAGTGGGACGGATGCGTTATGGCGACACATGGCCTGTAGTCGAGACTAACCATAGAGTGGCAGCCCAGGGAAAGGATACGCCTCAGTTTCATCCACCACAGAGATGGAGGGAAATGGCTTGTCTGCAGGAGGCGAGATAGATTGCTGCATCGCAAGGCCGTAAGAGATGCCAAGGCCTTGTGGAAGACAATTCCTCGTTGGATTGATCTACGGTTGATGCTGATTGTTACTTCTATCGCAATTAATTGAGTCCACGCATAATTTGATGCCATGGGATAAAAAGTATGAAACAAAATTGCTGGATGAAGGACTTTCCAAACTGTTCTGAGGTTGTTGGACCATTCTTCGTGCTGGCCTGAATAGGTGCTCGCTAACATAACATCACTTGTGTTGTGTGGTTCTCTGCGTCTGTGCGTTTGGTAGGGCGGCTGACTGACCGTTGCCTCCGTCACTCCCAAGCGTTGTTGGAATCGGCTTTCTTCACCCCATTGCACAAATTCCTTTCCGATTCTCACACCGTTGGTGTCGCCGTCTCTACAACATCAGTTTCGTTATCGCACGTGCACTTACGGGGGGAGCCCTGGCCGAATATTTACACGATGAGGGCATGCACGCAGTGATCGAGTAAACCCACCAGACAGCGTGGATCTTAAGGATAATTACTTTCAAAGAGGGGTCTTGGCGACGGTGACTCGACGGGGCGATGGAGACGGACGCAACCCCCAAAATCTTGTCTTACCTCAAAAGTGTGAGCGACGAATATCTCGGGCAAATGCGAGCACATTTGCGAGGAATGGAACATCCAGTGGGCCAGTGGCGCTTCCTGATCGATGCACTTGATCACGTGCAGAACCAGGGTCTTCACTCTTTCCCAGCTCCCCACTTCGAAGGGGACTGCACACTCATCATGAGGTACCTGCAGGACTTTGGGCGAAACCCCAGCGCCCCTCTCGAGGGCAGCTCCTCCCAAGAGAGCATCGGGCCGCTGAGGTCCGGCCTGGCCGCGCTCCAATACAGTGACCCAAGGAGGGGGCCGTCGATTGCGACTGACGTGCGTGCGAGCAGCGACCGCGAGGCGGACCCAGTGATGCAAGACTGCTTCCGCTGCTGGCAGCGATTGCAGCGGCGGCAGCAGGCCCCAGGCGCTGAAGACGATGCCCGCAAGCTGCCTTCCAAATTCGCTCGACATAAAGTTCAGCACCGAGAGCCTGCCCACTGTGGCACTGGGTTGCAATCAGCACAAGCAGCAGCAGCACCGGCATCCACAGCAGGAACAGCATCCGCAGGAGCAACAGCAGCAACGGCATCCACAGCAGCAGCAACAGCCACAGCAGCCTGTTCAGCAGAATACTCCGGTGTGTAACGTCTTACCACAGCTCTCTCAGCATCCTGCAGCCGTAATGTCGCACGCCTCTCATCCATCGAATGGGATGCGACGTTCTAACATTGACCCTGGGCAGTATAGGGGTGTCCAACCCTCACTGCAGGGCGACAGTTCCTTGTCGCCAGATGCGGTGCCTGACGAGCCCATCATTTGCAACTATGCGCGTCAATCTTCGTGCTATGGTCAGGCTGCTGTCACCATCCATCGGCTCCGCCCGATCCTATGGTGGAAACCCCCCGCTGGGCAGTTACGACAGCATGAGGTCAAACCGTTACCAGGGCGCGCCAGACAGACGCCACGCTTCGGACGGGCACAGCATTCAGCACGAGACGCTGGGCTCCTTCTCGCCCACAGGTCCCGTCTTCGATTCTGGCCAAGATGGCTCCTCGCTCGTCTCGCAGATGGGCAACCTCAACTTGAGTCCCACGATCGTGCTGCAGCCTTTGCGGGGCAAGGCGTCGTCACCCGGCGCGACGCCATCGCCACCGCCAACGCCAGCGACGCCAGTTTCGGGGGGTTTGTCCGGCAGTTTGGTGAATTCCCCTGTGAGCCTGCAGGGAGGAGGACCAACAAACGACGGGCACGGGGAGGATGAGGTGGAGGTGGACGAGGAGGAGGAGGAGGAGTTCTACACATTTGTGATCCTGCACGACGCTGAAGACAACGATATCGCGGAGCAGGTGAAGGTTGAGCTGGAAAATCTCGACATCAAGCCTGGCGCCACCTTTGAGGACCTCCAGGTGGGCGGCGAGCATCAAATCGGGAGCGTGGAAAAGGCCGTTGACAACTCGGCCTACACCTTGCTGCTGATGACCTCCAATTTCGTCCACACCTGGATGCAGTTCACCACGCACGCCACGCTCATGAACTCCATCAACAAGACGCACAAGTACAACACGGTCATCCCGCTGCTGCCGCGCACGCAACGCCTTCTGAAGAACCAGATACCCTTCGCTCTGCAGGCCATCAACCCCCTGGACATGGCACTTAAAACCTTCGCGAAGAAGGCGTGCCTCACCTTGAACAGCAAGAAGGTTAGCAAGCAGAAGAGGGTGTGGGAGGCGGAGAAGCAGCGCCTGAGGATGGAGTTGAGGGCTCGCGTCGTCAAAGAGCGGCAGCGGCAGCAGCAGCAGCAGCAGCAGCGGCAGCAGCAGCAGCGGCAGCAGCAGCAGCAGCGGGATTTGGAGGCCGCTCTGCTCGCGATGCCTCCGGTAGCCGCTCACCAACCGGAAGACGGTGGCCCAGAGGCTCATGGGTTCGGCGGGATGGAAGCGCAGGAGGGCGGTCGGTCGCCACCACCGGGCGGATTGAACCACGGGTGTGCTGCCGAGGGCGGCGGCGGCGGCGCTGGCGGCGGCGGCGCTGGCGGCAGCTGTATCGGCAACATGAACTTGGAGGGACACACCGTGCAGGTTGGGTTCATCATGTTCCGTTCACCGCGTTGTTACCCGTGGCGATATTACAGCGCAAGGCTGTCACCAAGGCAGGCCTGTGTTTGATAAGTAAAGTCTGCCGGTAGGGTGGCAACGTTGCGATGTTTTTTTTTTCCTCAATCCACTAATTTTTGGGTAATTATTCGATTTTGACAAATTTTGTTCCTGGCTGCTATTACTCATTCTGCTCCCTCTGGGTTTGGTGGAGGCGCATGCATACACCCAAACCTATCGGGCAGCGAGGCGGTGCCTGTCAGAATCGCCCCTTCTCTTGCATACCAATCATTCTACTGGCACGCAAGGTGGTGTTGCCCAGGCTCAACCCTGCCTAGCTTCTGACTTCAGCGCAGGTCAAATGCATTCCGAGGTATGTATGTACAGGGACTCCTCTACTTACCAACATTCGACTCACGAAATTTCAGAGATTCGAACAAACCTGTCGTAAGTTCAACGGCCGTGCAATAAATGGCGGTGGTGGCATCTACATCTGCAGGAGAGTATACAAGTTTTAAAGCCATTCCCCATGTTTAGGCTACATGCCGTACAACATGGAGTAAAGTTGTACTTACGAACAAATCGACTTCCGAACAGACCTCTGGAACCTAATTTGTCCGTAAGGAGTCCCTGTACTTTGAACTTCTTTCGCACTGGATGTAGCCAATTGTGCTAATCGGAGGTGCGGGAGGTGATTTGGTCATATGCACAAAATAGTTACACATAGGGCATTGATTAATCCACTCCTGTATAGATTTGCTTTTGAATTGATCACATTGATCCACTCTTGCATTGATCCGATGTGCAATTGCTCACATTGATCACTCTTTGACCTCCCCTTTCTCTCTCTCTGCCGCGACTGCAGGTCAACTTTCCACCCGTGGGCTCTCCGTCCCAAAACGCGAGTGTCGGAGGAGCACAGAACATCAACATCATCAACATCACCGGCGTGCAGAACGTTCAAGTGGGCAGCAACAACGTCATCCAGCGAGGCCTCACCTCCCCCGCGTGTGATGGCGACGAGTTCTTTGGGAGCGAGGATAGCATCGACGAGGTTGGCATCGACGAGGTTGGCATCGACGAGGTTAACGATTGCCAGGACAATTCAAAACCGGGTGTTGAAGTTCGTACGATACAACCGGAATCCTCCCAATTATTCAAGTAATCGATTACCGCCGGTCGGGTGATCGATTACTCGGTTGCTTGGATATCACGGAAATATTTCCGCACGAAACGTCTCTGCTTCTGCTGCCGCCCATGTCAGGCTGGACGGGAGGTGACTGGGAGGGGCGTGGCGGCGACCATTTTATAGAGGCCACAAACGAGTGGTCGATAACGAATTATAATCGAATAATCGGGTTGATCAACTCGTTGTCCCATTTCTACTGTCGACATCGTGGAGGACTTTAACCCTTCCAGGGTCCGCTGCACCAGCACACGACCAGGACCTGGGTTTGAGTCCTGGGTTAGTGTTCAAGTGAAACGACTGCTCTCACGTGAGTGCAGTGTAGTGCTCTCCTCCGTCGACGAACCTAAGCCATGAACGGAAACTCCACATTAATTTCGCAGGGATCGCACCTTCCGTAGGACGGCCCACTGTTGACTTCACCGCACCTCCGATTAGCGCAGTTGGCTACATACGGTGCGAAAGAAATTCAACACTCACACATTAATCTTCCTCTGAAGGGATGGAGTTGACCTCTCGACTGGCATTGTTTTTGATTAAGAAACGTCCAAACAATAACTGTTTGGACGTTCCTGGTCAGACTGTTAAGCCATTACACCGTGCTCCCAGCTGTTGTGCTGGTACCCTGCATGACGGCACGAATGTAAAGAGTCGGTGCCTGACGAGAAGCCATGCATCGGGTCGTTTCCATGCCGCGAGTGGGGCATTCATGAGCGGGTGAGCGAACTTTTATTCCGCGTGACGTCGGGGAAAATTCCCGCGACCCATTCGTCCAGGGACTGGTTGTCTCGACCATGGTCCCCTGCGTATAAGGTGAATTACTTTGTGAATAATGAAGGTGGAACTATGGGTGCATTTAAAACACAATTTGAAAGTTTTTGAATCTTTCATAAACCGACGCACTTTTCTGGGCGGGGCGGTTCACAGGGGTGCACATTCCTTAAATCCTTGGATCTTCAGTGCCCAGTTTACACCGCTGGGTGGACAACACAGCCGCATCTCTGGGCGCTGTGGTGGCGAGATGTTAACTACCTCGCTTGGTATACAGGAGGTCGTGGGTTCGATCCCGACCCTGACGCCTGCTGTATATTTGGAGTTTGCGTTTTCTCCCCGTGGTCGCTTGGATTTTTCTCCAGGTCCACCGATGTATCCCTCCACATTTATAAAAAATGCATTTAGAGTATTTGGCAGCTATAAATTTCCACATGATAAGCCACTTAGTTGAGCTATCATTTGTGGCCAGTTCGCTTCTGAAAAAGAGCTATATAGCTCAGTGGGCCTTTACCTGGTAAAATGTAAAATAGTTTAGTTTTAAGATAGTTTAACACGTAGGCTTTCGCGACCAATATTATTCATAATCAACGTTTTTGGGTTTAGATCGCGTTATTTATAAATGTGTCGTAACCCTCCACCACCCGACACAAATTGTAAATGTTGTGGTTTCACGCTTCAACACACCGGTGGGCTAAAGCAGTGAACTAATTGTCTTTTGTCAACGTGACACTTTTTTACTGATTGGCCGTGTCGGGTGGTGGAGGGTTACGACACATTTATAAATAACGCGATCTAAACCCAAAAACGTTGATTATGAATAGTTTTAAGATGGTTGAATAGTTTAGCACGGTTGGCTACATACGGTGCCAAAGGAGTTCAACGTACGTACAACATACGTACAGCCAATTCAACCCATGTCCGTGCCATGCAGCAAAGTTTGGACACATTCCCCTCGACTGAGACTTTTGGCTAGCGTGGCAGACTGGGCCAGACACCGTCGATACCAGGGGTATCGAACATATTCTTCACGTAGATAGAAATTTTTAAATGAAAAAATTACAAATTTAAAATAATAAAAGCAAAAAACCCACGACGTTTTGCGGGCAACACAAGCGATCTTCATCAGGCGGAGAGAAACATCAAACGTACCGGTCTACGGGCCGGACCAGGTCCCCTTTGGCCCGCCACGTGTTTAAATTTTTTACGACTTTTAACGTATATATATATTTTTTAACCTCTACCTAAATTCAACCTGAATTTAAATCGGTCAATGCAACGGGAGATTTGGCACACCATTGCCGCGAAACAAAAATAAGTTGGTTCTCTTTTCACGCGCTAGTCATATTTTGAATCGGTAAGTTAAGACCCGATTTAAAGCTTTCGTGACTGCAGGGATTCATCTTCTCGGTTCTTTCGGTAAAGTCACGTAGAAGGGAAGTAATAAAATAATAAAAAGAAAACATAATAAATATATTATTTATTATGTTTTTATTTTTATAAAAAAATCTGAAAAATATTTAAAAATAATAAAAATAAAACACAATAAAATAATATATTTATTATGCTTTATATTTATTATTCTATGACTTCCCTTCTACGTGACGTATTATGTTTTATTTGTATTATTTTTTAATACAAATAAAGCAATAAAATAAAATATTTATTATGTTTTATTTTTATTATTTTATTACTTCCCTTCTACGTGACTTTACCGAAAGAACCAAGAAGACGTTAAGACCCGTTTCACTATGCTTTTACTTTTCATAGGCCAAACTTTGTGGCCCGCTGGAGGTGCATTTGAATCCAAACCTGCCCCGCGGTCCAATTGAGTTTGACACCCCTAGTCTAGAGCTCCCCGGTGGAGGCTCTCGCGCAAGCAGTGATGAGAGGGGGGTGAGCAATCGTAAGGGCTGCACCGTTTTCCCTTTAATCCTTTGCACTCTTTTTTATTGGTCTAATTGTCGAAACGTGATTTCAACCACTATGAATGCCACACACAACAGAGTGTGTTAATGACACTGTTCTTGAGAATCGAATCGTGGTTCTGTATTGTTAGCACGAGATTGCATCGTGGAAGAGAATGGGTGTGAACAGTTACGCCACTGCTGCTTCTGATGTGCACGAATCTTGTGCCCAGTGTGCTTGTGTACAACAAACATTGCTTTTGGCAGGCCGAGCAGAGTTGAGCCTGTATAGTGCCTGAATGTGCCACCGCCACACACAAACAGGTTGCTATAGGCTGCTGCGGAGCTACGTGGTAGCGCAGCAGAGGGCAGTGCAGCGGAATACGTTGTACTGCACGTCTGTGCTCCACGTGTGTGCCGCCATCTCTGTGCTTCCCCGCCTTCACCAACCTGCACCTGGCCAGTGTGGTGATGCATCCTCAAGCAGAGGTCGCAAACGGGTTTTGATTCCTTACCGTACCCGGCCGCACCAGGGTCGCAAACGGGTACCCGTACCCGGCCGGGTACGGGTAGGGTACGGGTATCGGGTACCTGATTGCGACCTCTGGGATGAAGCCATGTTGCAGGTGCAGGTGGGTTGATTCTAGGAACTTGAATTGTGAGAAGAGACAAGACGTTGGGAAATGAGTGACAAACAGTTACTCACCAGTGACTCACGGTCTACCCGTACCCGGCCGCACCAGGGTCGCAAACGGGTACCCGTACCCGGCCGGGTACAGGTAGCCGGGTATCGGGTAGGGTACGGGTATCGGGTACCCGGTTGCGACCTCTGTCCTCAAGTTAACCCCCACGACCCGAACAAGCGTGGGGAAGCGCTCACGCAGCAGTAGACTGAACAAGGCCCGTACATAATCTCGTACATGTGGTGCAACAACAAAAACACCAGAGCCATTTATTGCTATTTCCTGTTTGCACGGCAATTCGGTGGAAAGGGGAGTGTTTTTTTACAGGTGTCTTTAGCGGTGATTTCTCGATCGATGTGACATTTATATTTTACTGCCCGTGTAACTCTAAGGGTTTTTTATTGTGGGTTTTGAACGCCACAGTGTTGTGGGGGGGGTGCTCTGTGTGACCGTGTCCTCGCGCGACACGGCTACACGTTCCGTTAGATCACTCTGCGATGCGTCGCGGCTACGCAAACGGCGATCCAGCCTCGACGAAGCCACAGGCCTTAATGTCACGTGTGATAACCTCCTGGATCTGCTACGTTGTGGGCCCGTTGAGCGGTTGGGAACTCCCTTCCCTCTGCTCGTGCGCGTTTGCCGACATCGTCTGAAGTTCAAATCCAATTACAGGACTTTCCCTTTTCTCCTCCGACTCTCATTGTGCCCCCCTATCCCCCCAGCTCATAACGTCTTCGACACCAGCCAGTCTCTCAACTCCAGTCGTTAAATAGTGTAACAAAAAATTACATCGCAAATAGCTCGACTGGAATAAACGTGGCGATCATCTCCCCCGCCCCCCCCCGGCTGCAACATATTGATTGGCAGGACCCTCCTGAAGAAGTGTGCCGAGACACGGTGAGGATGTCCTGGTTAAACAAGCGTAATAATGAAGTGATATATGACCCACCTCCTCCCTTACCACCACAGTACAGCTTCTCGTGACTACGAACCATCATATGCATACAAGAGAATGCTAATCGCTGGAAGGTGAACCCCCCTCCCCCGCCTCCCCCGGGTGGTGAGAACTGGAGTTGAGAATCATTGCTTGATGCCATTCTTGCTGGTCTGGGGCACGTTGGTTGTTTCCATACCCGGTCGACCCATCCCGTCGCGACGTTTTCCACAGCTCGCGTCCACCGAACTCCCCCGGGCGCAAGCACCACTCTCTTAAGCGTCTCTGTCGTCATCATCATCATCGTCGTTCGGCACGCGGTAAAATACGCATCAAATCATAGGGTCAAATTGATTGTTGCGTTCGCAATACCTGTGCACGGCGTCAGGTCGTGCGTGTGAGGATCGTTTGTCCTCGATGTTGGTGGCGGGTTTTCCGACACATTATTACGCGATCGAACCCAAAAGGGACTTGTTGAACTGTATATGTAGATAATGTTGTACTTGCGTTAGCTTCAAGTTCGTGGAGCTAAAACAAAGAAAAAACACGGGCAAAGAAAGGCCCAAAAAAACGCGTCAAAAACATAATTATTTTATCGAATCGCGACTGGCAGTCGTGACTTTGTACGTTACTGTCATTGGGATGATGCGTTAAAAGGCCCGATCGTCAATCTTCATGGTAAAAACAATCATGATCACCACCTCTCTACCGTAATCGATGCCATCCTCCAGGGTCAGTAAAATTAGCACCACCTCGCCAGGGTGCTAGAAAGTTGTGGAGCATGCTCCTGCTTGGATAAGTAACGTGGTGACGCGCTCTTTTTCTCCATTGGCTACTCTGAGTCAACATTGGAAATTCCACATTCCTGTGACGGGGGAGGGGGGCAATCCCTTGCACATGACGATCACCGTTGACCTTCCTTCTGAGTGGGTACTCAATTATCGACCCCGGAGGGATGATGGTCCGAGTTGAGTCCCGGTCGACCTGCTCGCTGCGAATGACATCACTCTACTGGGTGAACAAAGACATCGTTGACTCGATTCAGGGCTGACTCCGATTGCTCAGTTGATTGTAAATCCTGTGGATCTGAGCGCTTGGAGGACTGCATCGATCATATATATGCCACCATATTTAAGAATGGATATCACCATGTCTTTACTGCTTCGCTTTTTGTATACCGTACCCTATGATTTTGATGCAAAAAGTGAATTTTACATTGAGCGCAAATGTTTGAATGTTCATGAAATGCATATCTGTTTGCCTTTGAAAGTATGCAATGGCTTCGTTATTTTTTTTGGGGGGGGGGTGTCCTTTCATGCGTATCAATTGTTTTTGAAATGTCAAAACGAACTTTCAAATATCTCTTATTAACAATTAAAATCAATGCCAACAGTGAAAAAAAAACAGTCACTTGTGTATGAAGTGCAAATTCAATTAATTGTATTATATACGTGTATTATCCCCGCCGCGATGGTTACTTTGCTATGCAACGGAGCGTCAAGCAAAACAGGAATGTACGCGCTCTCATGAAATACTGAATAGACGTCAATACAACACCGAGCAGAGCGCGTTGTGTTTTGTCCAGCCCTCGGTTGAGCCACTGCTGGACGAATTGCTCACCACGCCCTTCGGTCACGGCGCTTTTGACGACACTTCACCATGCTGGTCGGCTTGGGTTGATGGAGGAGGGATCCAAGGAACCGGTTCGGATGTCGCTTGCCAACTCACGTCGGCCGTGCCACGGGAATACAAACTCGGGTCGCCCGGCTGATAACGCGGCGTTGCTAACTGCTGTGCCACCTGAAGACGGCTGCTTACGTTGTAGCCGAAACGTCGTGAGAATTATTTTATTTAATTACGTTTTATTTTATTTTATTACGTTTTATTTTTATTATTTTATTACTTCCCTTCTACGTGACTTTACCGAAAGAACCAAGAAGATGCTGTGCCACCGTTCCACCCCAAGTAGAACCATCGTTTACGGAATTGCACCGCTGAACGCCGGGAACGCCCGCCGTAATGCCAACGATGAGCAACACGTTGCTTGCAATCCGGAGGTCGCCGATT